CAAGAAATACTAAATTTATACCATTGGCGTACTTAACTCGAATGACTGACATTTTTACCGTTACTAATTGTTTGTACATAAGTTTCAACTTTAAAATCAAAATTCTTAATAAGTATTGGGCGGAATTATAAAATTTAAAGTCTGTTGTAAGGAGAACTGTAAGAGCTTTCAAAAGAAATATTACTCAACCCCCAATGCCATTTAAATATTTTGGGGTGATGCTTACCCTTGCTTGAGGGTGAAAATGGCGGGAGTCAAAAATACCAGCAAAGAATGTCCCCCTTTAATCTAAAATCGAGGGGTCTGAGCGTTTTTCTACAATCTTGACGCAGTTCCTGAAAATGTCTCTGTTTCGTTTTCATTTGGCCACCCTGTATATTAAAATCGGATTATGAATATTGCTTACCTTGAAAATCCTGTTCAATTGGTCCACCTCCGATTTGCCGGGAAACAAAGCGTTCATGAGCAGCAACTCGGCAAATATACACCCGACTGACCACATATCAATGGGAGTGGAATATTCCTTCGCGCACAGCAACAGCTCCGGTGCTCTGTACCACAAAGTGACCACTATGGGTGTGTACGCCTTTAACGGAGACCCGTATTCCCTAGCTAAACCGAAATCGCCGACTTTCAGGATGCCCTTATGCGACAGCAACAAATTGGAAGTCTTCAGGTCCCTGTGTAGTATCCAGTTGTCGTGTAGGTGAGCGACGGCGAGAAGCAGCTGTCGCAACAGGCACTTGATTTCGCCGGGCATGAAGTTTTGCTTTTTGTGCCGCATGGTTTCCATGAGCGACTTGAGGTCGTGCTCCACGTAATCCATGACGATGAAGATCTTGTCCATGTTGCTCCCGACCACTATTTCCCTGACGGTGACGATGTTTGGGTGCTGCCCTTTGAGTAGAGTGTTGATCTCGCGTAAGGAGGTTATCGGGAAGCCTTCTTTCTCCTTTTCCATTTTCAAGCGCTTCAACGCGACTATGTCCTCTGTTCGCTTGTCCCGAGCACGGTACACCACGCCGTAAGTGCCCTCTTCTATGCGATTCAGACATTGGAACTCTTCCACTGATCTGCAACCCTAAAAAATAATTTAAAAGAAAACGTCGATATATCTTCCATATAATTATGCATCCGAAATGCGAGAACACGGAAGAAAATACGCTAAATCTTTATGTTGAAAAGATATATTGCTAAATCATTATTTACCTGTACAGCCGGATAATAAGGAGGCAAATCTTCATCAAGCTTAGGCTTCTCGCTCTCTCTCCTTTCAGTCCTATCTCCCGTTTCTATGGTCTCTTCCAAATCTTCATCCTTATCACTCTTAGGTGAGGCAGAGATTGACCTCTCGCTACTCCTGCTGGCACTTCTGCTGTGACTCCTACTCCTGCTACGACTTCTCGATCTTCTCTCTGAATATGGACTCTCGTCATCTCTTGTTTCAGAAGTACCGTCCGAACGTTCACTATGTCGGGTTTCGCTTCTGCTGCTGTGAACACTGTCCTCGCTCTGTTCACTCTTGTCTTCGTGTTCTTCGTATAATTCATCCATTTCGGGATCGGAATTGTCCGAGACGGTCACAACTGGTTCTTCGGATTTCATACGTTTCGACTCGTGTTTGGAGTAGGACTCTTCCTCCTGTTTTCTTTTCGACGCTTTGGCGAGATGGCGTCGTTCTCGTTCCACGCGAGATTGTTCCTTTAGCCGTGCCATTTCTCGTTCTAAAACGACATCCAATATAATAATGTTTACAGATACCTACATTTAAAGCAAAATAATTTATTGAACAATAAATCTTACCTGCTTCTAATAATTTATCTCTTCTCTGCTCTTGTTCAGCTTTTTCTTCGTCTGTTAATTTGCCTTCTTCCTTATCTTTACGTTGTTTTTTTTCTTCAGTTGTAATATTAATAATCTCCTTAACGTACATTCCAGCTTCTCCCTGTAATGGATCGTTACTCTCATCCCTATATTTCCTTTCTCTGTGGGAAAGTTTACCATGACTGTCGTCATCTCCCTTTGAGGTTCTTTTGCTTAGCAAACGCTCCCTTAAATCATGTAAGGTCTTGTCAGCCCTGCTACGTTTTTCGTCTTCATAGTGATCTCTTTTATGTTTTTCAGAATCCCTGCCATACCTAGACTCACGCATCTCTTTAGCTTTTTTCTCGTCGTGTTTTCTTGACTCGGAATGCCTAGATCTGGACTGCTCGTCCTTTCTGTCCCTATGGCTTCTCTCATATTGAGTTTCGTAACTCAATTGTTCAAAACTTTGCTTTTCTCGGTAATATCTCTCTTTCTCCCTTTGATAATGTTCTCTTTCTTTAGCGGATCTGCCCGATTTATCCCTTTGAAAAAAGAAAAATGCACATAAACACCATAATAATAATTGACTCCATTACAAACTACAAAGCAAATATCTACCTATGATGCTTTTCCCTGTGAGAATGTCGTTCATCACGATGACGATCAGATCTTTTATGACGTGGCCTTTCGTGGTCCCTACCATCTCTTCTTTTATTTCGTGACTGAGATGAAACTCGGGCTTGGGGGGGTTTGATGTCTAATGCATCTATATTTTCACTTTCCTCTTCAGATAGACTAAAAGCAAACATAAACATTGTAATGCCAAAACTATATGAATTAAGAACTAACCTGAAATCCATAAGTTCCTGTTTTGATTTGGTATCTAGTGGGCTTTGCCGTAATTCTCCATCCTCACTTTGATCATCAGCAGAAGCATTATCAGACATTTTATAAACGTCAACACAACGCGAAAAACAACTAATCTATAAAAATATAGGTTATGTTAAATATTAAGTATTTTGACATTTTGACAATAACAGATTATTGACAAATATCCATCATCTCATCTTCTTCCTCTAAATCAATGAGAAAAGCTTGCCATAAAAGTTGTTACACTTCCGTCATAAGTAAATAGATTCTAATTTTTTTAACGTAGGGTTCTGAAATTACGTATTAGGAATTTACGAAAATTAAATCTTTAGCCTGGTTCTACATGCATGCGTCAACACGAATATCCATGAGTAAAATTTGACCCCTTCACATGGAACGTACCTAAGACGGATCCGTATTTATTTTGACATGAGCGATCACCACTTCTATTCTTTTTAATTGAACATACAAATAAAAAGCCAAAAGTAAACAAATTACTTTGACGTGAAGGAAGCACGCTTACAGCGACAGATAGACGAGTGTCAGAGAAAGAAAGAGACAGTTGAGGTAATATATTTCTCTTTCGCGATGGCACGTGATTGGTTAACGCAACTCCATCCCCAATGATTAGAGAGAAAGAAAGCGAGTATCCAAACTATCGCATTTTCTGTCTAGAGAGTTTACACTTTTTAACACGCTGTGCTTTCTCCATATAGTATAATGCTCTAAGGTATTGTCTCTGTCTCTGTCATTCTGCTACGACGTTAGAGAATATATTACACGAAGAAAGTAACGCGTGTTAAAAAGTGTAGACGTTGTAAAGAAAAAGAGCGATAGTTTGGGTACTTGCTCTCTTTCTCTCTTTAATCGTTGCGGGCGAAGTTGCGATAGCCAATTACGTGCCTGCGCGAGAGAGAAAGATATTACCCAAACTATCTTTCTCTCTCTCTAACAGTCGTCTACACTGTCGCCGTAAGCGTGCTTCCAGCTTGTGGTATATGCTCTAAGTATGAATAGGTTTAAATTTTGATGGATGGTAGGTCCTAAATAGTAAATAGGAATTATAATTTCTGAACGCACCGAGGGTTTGTTATTTGTTATTTGTCATTCTTTACTGGAAATCGGAATTGTTTTCTAAAATTTTTTGAGGTAACCTCTTGTGGTATCGGTTTAATTTTTGAAATCAGCTGTTAATTTATTAACTACAACGTTGAAGATATAATGATTATATTTGTAAGTAGAAACCGGATTTTAAAAGAATACTATAAAATATTTATATTTATGTTATGCAATGTGAACGTTAATTAATTAAATTAATGAAACAATTGATTTAAATGTAATTTTGAAAAATTGTGTACAACTGCAAATGAGGACGAAGAACTTTTTAATAACGTTATGTGTCGTCGTGTCTGTAAGTTTAGTCTTTATCATTCTTGGCCAACATAAGCCAGAAAGTATTCAAAATATCGTGACCTCAACTAATGAACAAATAAAAAACTTTAAGGTTTGTATATGTCAGTATTTCTTTGCTATGCATATTCTTTATTATTTTTTGCTTCCAGGACAACTTGAGGGATGCTGAAACAAAAACCCTAATTGCCGACGAAAAGTACTTAAATCTCTTGGGCTTTACGGATGAACCACGATTGTTTCCTAAGGATATTTGGAAGAATACTTCATTACCCGTGGTCGTTACCTATGTTCTAGATGGTCAAGAAAGCCAGGCCATAGGTCTCATTATTAACATTGCAAAAGTACTACCAAATAATACAATATTAGTGTATAACTTGGGACTTGGCGACTACGCTTTAAAAACTGTAAGTACTTTTATTTTTTTACATTATGTCTAAGTGTGTGGTAAGGTATGCTTTTCAGTATGTTAAGATATAAAAGATATTGAACATAAAATAAGGTTTGCTTGGACGATTTTTCACAGATATTATAAGATTGGTGGTTATAATTAATTATTTTATTGGTGCAAAATATTTAATACGATTAATTAATTCAACGAATTTCTTTTATAATTCATCATTCAGCCTTGTCATGTTTAGAAAGTTAATATCTGCAATTAGCGAGATATAAAGTGTGTATTGCATATAAATATTTATTTAGTATCCTTGGCATTTTTATGGTAGTGATAATTTTGTGTACACTGTAATAAACTACGCTGTCGAAATAAATGAACGAGTTTTTGTAACCCTTTTTCGGCTGTAACTAGTCAGAATTAAATTACTGTTGCGGTATTTTAAGCTTTCTGAATACTTTTAATAATATCCTTTAAATTACTGTTAGATAAGACATGTTTTTATTTTATTTTGAATTCTTGCCGTAATAATTGTTACATTTAAAATGAGTAATTGGTATTTAAAAATAAAACATTTCTTAGTAAATATTATTAAAAACGTATGATTAAAATGTAAAAATTAGAAAAAATAAATTACGCTTGGTTTCATTCCCAAAATTTGGGAAAATACTCAAGAGACAAACTGTGCGTTTTTATCGTTTGTTTGTGCCGTTTTAATGGAGTTACTTTTTTTTCAATAATTTGTATATTTATGTGTGATTTAAAACTGTATTCTTCATACCCCAAAATATTTTTTAGCTACTAAACTATTGTAATAGCAGCAGATGTCAAGTAATAACTTACGAATTATCTGAATTCCCTTCACACGTAGAAAATGAGAATCTTCATGCTTTTAGACCTCTGATAATTCAGGTAACCTATAATAAAATAATATCGTTTATGCAATTTTTACGATTTTTTCTGAAAACGATATTTCTGAGAAACAAATTTCAATGTTTTTATTTTTCAGGATGCCCTTCGCCACACGGGGGCTATTTTGTTTCTGGAATGCCACTACCGTCTGTTAAAAAACGTGACTCAAAATACAATCGCGCAACTATTCGAGAACAAAGCGAAAAAACATGGGGTTCTGGCGTGGCCCTTCGATCTAAAAAATCCCGTGTCTAGTCTAACCCACAAAAAAATGTTTGAGTATTTCCACACGGACGCGGAAAACTTCCTCTTCCTCCAGATGGTGAAGGCGGATGTCCTTTTCCTTATTAACACAGATAGTATTCACTACGACATTATGTTACCTTGGGTACAGTGTGCGTTAACTCAAGACTGCATATTTCCTGTCGGGGCGCAATCGGCGGGCTGCAAGTTCGACAAGAAGCCCCAGTACAGATATTCCGGTTGCCACAGCTACGATACTTCAGCGCTGAATATAGTCTTAGGGCTCAAGTTTAAACAGGACAGTAATCAGTATACTTACCGTGGTTTCTTTAACTATTTCGAAATTGTTCCTTTAAGCAGTGCCGACGCTCTGCTCAGAGAACTCCAACAGAACTCGACGACGGAGGGAAAGTTGCTCCCTTTCGAACCATAATAAGTGTAAATACTGGACCAACTACTGTGTGATATTTAGTGTAACCTTGATATCCGAGAGCAGATGGATAGTCTTGTTATAGAGACTTGATAAAATATCGCTGTACTTTTTATATTACGCAATTCGTTGATTAAAGCCGTGAACGATTATTTCCTCAGTTTTCAAATGTTTCTTGGTTGGCTTTGTTTTTTGTAATTTCTACAGTTGAGTTGACGATAATGCGAGCGTTATTGTAAAGTATAATTTGTATTCATTTAGATGTAGGAGCTTTAAAACAAGACTTATCTGCGTTAGTGATTGTATTTATTAAACCAAATATTAAAGTTATTTTATCGTTAGAAACCTTAGTTCTGTACATATTGAAGTATGCGGATAAATTGATTCGGTGTAGATAAAAAAGCATGCCGCAATTATTTCCTGAATGCTAGTGAAATTTCAACGAGGCAGTTACAGTAGTGATAAATAAACAGTTAAATTTACGTTGTGAGGACTAATAACAGACTACTTTCGACCTCGATCATCCGATCTTGAAGAGATAAACGAGAAAGTCGTTTAATGCAGACTGAATGTTTTTTTATTTGACCAACCTTTGCAGCCATAAAATTCCGTTTCGACCATTTTAATTAACCATTTAACACTCTAGGACATCTAATTTCTGTTGTTTAAGGGGTGGAATATGAGGCAAAAGGTGAGAAATTTTTTTTTAATTTTGCAGTTTTCGTACGGATTTTTCGATAAGTTAATTTAAACAATTGTTATAAACAAATAACTGTCCTTTTTTCGTGAAAAATTTAACGTTTTACTTCAAACACTTGCCAAAAAACAATATTTTTACAATCCCGTACGTGTTTCTCTAACTATACTCTTGTAGATTAAGAGCAATTTATTTTGTTCTGAAATTTGCACTAGACGGCAACATGCTTCAGGAGAATGGTTCCAAATATTTTTTAAAGAAAAAAATTTTCTGTACACTTAATACATGCCTAATAACATTTTTAGGCCGTTACAGTGGTGCCCTTTCAGGTCCTTAAGAAAAATTCTTCTTACAGCCCATAGCACTTTAAAAAAAAACGATAATGCTGCTTTTGAACTGTACTTGAACGATTGTGTACCCAAAATGCAAGAAATATGAATGTAATATACAAGGTGTCCCACCACGAACTCCATCGATGGATACTTGACAATTAAAAACCTGTGACAGTTGTCATGTTGATTGTTATTTACCTGTCATGGCCAACCTAAAATGTGCGAATCAAATGGAAACATCATTTTAAGAAAAGGGAAATGTTTATTCGTAAATAAAATGAAAACCACTGGGTTTAGGTATAGGGAAACATTAACAAAGGGGTTTCCATTTAAAAATTTTGAGTTTTCCACATTTTCTGAACTTTATAATTGATAAATCTTTTTTGACCACCCTGTACAAAAACTGGAAAATTTTCATGTCAAATTCGATAAATTAATATCCAATTTGCACAAAAAAATAAAAACATGTTTCTGGGAAAACTAAATTTTGCTGACAGTCTGCATCTGTCAATTTTTGTTTAAAAATAGAAATATCTCGGAAACGGTCAATCCTAAGTATGGAGTGTGCTATATGTTTTCAACTTAAAAATGGATGATGTTTCCAAAAATGCAATAATATACAGGGGGTTCCATTTAAAATAAGAAAGTTAGTATCGACTTCCGGTATAACCGGACCTTAAAAATATTTTAGCTTGGTAGGCCCCATGGTCCGTATCACACCATCACAATTTCAAAAAAATCCTTCCAGTGGTTTCCCAGATATCCATCGATGGAGTTTGTGGTGGGACACCCTGTATATAGAACAATAATCACTGGTAAGTGCATGAGGTTGGATGTTTCATACAATAAGACGTGAAAAAGGACTGAAAATGAGCGAAGGGGTAATAGAGAGTCGGTTAAGCAAAAAAATTAAATATTTTAATTTGTTTTTCCGACACTGGCTTTCAAAATTAAAAAGTTTGTTGAGTATTCTTGAATCAAAAATCAGATATTTGTATTGAAGTAGAGGATACAATCTTTTAACTGAAAAACTTCATATCCAAATACGATTCTTTCTATCCTACCTTTTAAAACTATAATTCTAGTTAATTCTCACGGGGATACAGATTCATTTAAAACAACATAAATCGTAAAGTTTTCAAAACACTTCTTTATGCTTAAAATTTAAAATTCGGGATTCCGTTTCTGTTAAATATGAAATTTCCCAAGATGCAGTTTCTGTAATGTGAAACTGTAACGTGCTTGATATGTTTATTTACAATGTTCATTTAGTTTTTGATGTGCCTATTATGTTATTCATCATAACTGCCATTTAGATAAGTATACTTTTGTATATATTTCCATCAGCTTCAAGTTAAAAATAAAAATATGTGAAATAATTTGGAATTGTATTATTTTAGTTATTTTAAGAGATACATTTAATTTTTCTATTGGCACCACTTCCTTTTTTATAGTACATAGAACCAATCCTGCCTTCACGGAAGTTGAAATGATGGTTCTCCATGTTGACAATCACCATTTGTAAGTCAAGATTAAATATAACTGAATAATGAACTAGGCACGAGTTGCAGCAAGGAGGGTTGCAAAGTGAATCGTCAACTCCAAACAAGAACTGCTTCATCATTTAAACTTTTTGGTTGCAGATCGTTATTTTTTTAACCAAGATAATGACTTGTGTTGAAGCCTGGCTGTTTCGCTGAGATCCAGAAACAAAATGAATGTTCATGTAGTGAAAGAAAGGCATTTGTATAAGAACCGAATATTCTAGCGTACGGTACCGCTTTGAGATGAGCTCTTTAATTTCTTGACAATTTCCATGGACTATCGATTTTCTAAAAAAGTTGTAGGGCTGAGAATTAATTTGAAAAAATTCCAGTGGACCAATCCAAACCTGCATTCATTTCCTCTCTAGCTCCTCCAGTTTTCGAGATTTTCTACTTTTTTATTGACGGAACCGTTTGCACAAAAACTAACCATCACAGCGTGTTTAGCGACATCAGGTACCTCCATTAGTTTTTTGAAAATTTTCGCGCTATTAGCTGTTTTTGTTTTACACACTTGGCCACTTTGGTTAATTCACTTTCAGTAGAGTTCTGACAAAGTTCGTTTTTTTTAAACAAGTGAACAAACCAAAATATGACCAAATTCCCCTTTTCCGATCTAACCTCTATTTTATATTTTGTGATCTTACCCAAGGAACTATAAATATCCTTGGATCTAACCTAGCCTAATATCGCGGGGGGCTTTCGTTTTGGCAAAAATAGTACCTATTAGCAACTAATATCAGTTCAGAGTAACTCTAAGTTGCTATTAGCCATTAATATCTACAAGTTTTGCCAAATCAAAAGGCCCTGTGGTTAGTAAGTGAACAAGGTAACCGAACAAAACATAACCTACAAATAATAATAATCATAAATCTAAATAATAAAAATAAGCCGTTGATAATGGTAATGAAGAAGTGTTGATTGTAAATATGTTGTACAACAACAACCTAATTAAATTGAAACTGAACAGACGTCAAAAGTCAATTTTTAAAATGGAGTACATGTGTGTTTTGTGTAATCTAAAGTTAGTTCAAATCACGGTCACATCTAGTTTGGTCAATTTGAATTATATATAAGTACATATTTTGATTAGTGGAGCACTCACATTTGTCGATTGACTAATCGAGCTGCAGTAAATAGTTCCAAATTTTCACACCGCGATCTATCGTCCAGAAACTGCACTAAATTGGGGAAGAATTATTAAGCAGGTAGCCAACTGTAACAACCTCGCATTCGCTGATGAATTAATTTCACTTTTAATGTATAGATGGCGCATCTCCTTTCCTAATAAATATAAATACAGTGCCTTCATAAATATCGAGTCCCACGTGACCGCGACTGCTAGGCAATCAAACTTACAATGAAGTCGGTAAATATCACAAAATTTCCTACAGAAAATGAGTCCGGTGGACTACATATTACAATTCTTTACAAACATATACTTTAATTAGCAAAATATGTTTTTTTTTCAATAGAAAATAATTATTTTTTAGATTTTTACATTTTTACTTACAAGCGGACTCCTCTAAAATATTTTGAATTTTTATCTCATTATATATTAAAACAGTATTTTTTGATTGAATGAGGTTGTCATTTTAAAAATATAGGCTCTTTTGTAATCCACTTTCATTCAGAGATAATGAAAATATTGTTAATAAAACAAAAATTTCTGAGTGCTTTATTAATTTTTCTTGCAAGATCATCAGATCTGATGCCTTTAGACTTTTTTCTATGCGGACACTTAAAGTTGAAAATTTCTGCAACACAACTGATCTTACTTGAGGAGCTTCGTCAGCGAATTGAAGAATGTCGTCAGATAAAACCCGAAATGGTATGAAATGTTCGTTCGGAAGTGGAGCAAAGATTCTATTATTGTATGGAAGCGGAGGGAAACCAATTTGAACCTTAATAAAAATAACATTCCTTCATTCATTGATATTTTGTTTTATTTTTTAAGTGATGATTTTATCGTCATCATAAATTTAGTCGTTATGTTGTCGTGAGCTAAATTGAAAAAATTTTAAAATGAGGTGCCACTCAATTTAAAGTTTAAGGGTACTTTATGCCCCTGCCTAAGGGGTAGCTTCCAAGATACCAAAACTTACGCCATCACGTGTCCTCCTTGAAAAGAAAATCGACGTCTCAGGTTTTTTGTTTTTTTTTTAATTCTGATATTTTCCAGCTGGGATGTTTTAATTGAAACACGAAAATATAAATAAACCGCAAATAATTTCTCTTATCTATTTATTATATGTATAAAATTGAACAATACTAGAATATGCGTTAGAAAAGATAAAATATTTCTTACTATCACAGTCTACCCTTAACACAACAGAGTTACCAAGTCAAAACCTTTTTTTTAAGATTTATGAGAAACGACAATGAAAATACAAGGATAAAAATTTAATGAAGGTTTTGACTAAGCAGTGATATGGCATTTTTTATTTAACAATTTTTATTGTCATTATAATGACTAAGGACTACTTAAATTTTATATAATACAAACTAAAAACACAAAATAAAAGATTTATTATGATCTTTGACATTTTACATTGATCTATTTAAATAAAAAATGCAACTTTAAAAAATATGATTGTCTATAGTAGAATGATAAAGGAAAGAACGCATTAGGCAGTCACGGTCCTGTCGCATCGTGGACCCTGCCAATCTCGATTGCATGCGGTGGAGTTCCTTCCCATGTTTTATAATGTATGCATTTGTACTAGACGTTCCTGTGCTCGTCTCGCTCGCATCGCATTCTCCACCGATCTTTTCCAAAGAATCGATGCGATCGAGACGAGCTTCCTCTTCCACATAAATAATTTTTCTAACTACTAAAACAATGCCTCAACTATTTAAAGAGCAGGAACAGGATTGTATACGATTGCCAAATGCGACTGATTTTGTAAAAGACCGCGATCAGCTAAGGTCAGAACGGACCGCGAACGCGTTCTCTCCTTAATTATAAAATATTACGTTTGATGCAAAATTGTCAAAGGATCATAAAGGCGATAAAATTGCACTTGACGCCCATAAAATTTGATAAAAATACATTTAACATCCAATCGTGGACAAATTATATAATGGTTATCCATGATCCTTTTGCAAAATTTTCGTTCAGGACATTTAAAACATATGGAATAAAAGAATAGAACGAATTAAAAGTTTCACGGAATACATAATCTAATTAAAATAATTTACTCATACGGACACTCATAAAACAATCTTGGGAAGAAATTAATTACTTATAGAATAATATTTAATCATTCGTCACTTGGGGTTAAGGAAACAACGTTTAAATCCTCGACATTCATACGTAGATGTCTGTTGGTACTTAGGATGTTTTTTAGACAGCTGTTCGTCAACAATTTTGAGCAAAGTTTCGACATCCATTTCCTTACCATACTTCTTGAACACTTCACATATACTCTGTATGTACCAGCTTCCTTGCTGGGTGTCCCTTATTGAAAAGAACCCTGGAAAAAGCGACCGAAATTTTTCAACCGACTTTTTAACGCCAAAAAGGCTTTATTTTGGATTTACAGATCTTGACTCTCTTAATAACCGGGGCATTATAACTGATAGTCCTTATAAAATATTGTATAAACTTTTAATACATATTTATAAAAATAAAGCCGATAAATATTTCCAAACAAAGAATGTCACTTCTCGATCTCATAATATTTTACATTCGCAAATACTTCACGGACCCAGTTACTTCACATTCATGGATTAGTGGTTGTGAAGTAAAAGGGGATGTGAAATATTGCCAAATGTAAAATAATATGACGTCAGTGTCAGTACACTATATTCAAAATTTTTAAAGTAATGATATTGTAGGAAGCAACTACTCTGCGGACTACATGTCCCGTCCAGCAATGAATATCTAGTAAAGAGCAAAGATCATTCGTCGGTAGAATCAGCAGATATAGATCACTTTTGAATTTATCAGTTATCATCAACAATTAACATTAATATTCTTACCTGGTAGTGTGGAGAACGCGACAAGCATATCGCCGTGTTTCTTAACAACATTTCTGGTCATGGGCACTCCGTCGTTGTGCAAATTATGTTCTTGCCTTTCACCTCTGAAAATTTAAATATTTACCGCACGGCCGTATCTAAATTTTATGTAAAATACCTGCAGCACTGAAATATAAATATTTTAGGTTTGCCAGCCATGGCAGGGCACTTTTCACCAGAAAATTTGTCTAAAATGTCATCGATAGCCAAACCCCCATCGTCTATGCCGTAGATTTGGGTAAATCCGCCTTGGATTACTTTACCGCTCTCGTCGACATTGCTCCCATGACTCATCATTATCAATACGGATATGTCAGCCTTTTTAAGGGAACTGTCACCGGAGAACCTGGATATTTTGGTCACCATCGCCTAAAAAAATCTTAGCTATTAGGCAATGTATCGGTTTAAGACAGCTACAGCTGAAAATCGACATGTAAAGATATTTTATTACAGAAAATAAGCTGCAGTTAGCAGCAACTAAATATCTATGTAAATGCAGGGTATAACTTCAACTGAAGATTAGATTTTCAGGGACAATAGTAAAAAACACTAATCTGAAGTAACTTTTTTATAAGTCAAATGAATAGTCGAGTTATAATTCATTTGTCTTGTCTACTCCGTCACTGAGCAGTACCCAAACTCAGTTGTATCAGCACGCTCATCAGTTTTGCCTGTTATTATTCTTTTAAATCAACTGAAGCTAACAAAGTAACAGAGGTGAAGCTGCAATGTTAGCACAAACGAAGTGCCGAATATTAAAAATAATTAATATTTTGTGGGTACATGTCTGCAAGTGACCCGTATTATGCCAAGCGCCAGCCTGACGCAGGATGGTCTAACCGTTGAAAGCGACAAGAAACAACGTGCAACGCGGGATATGGTCCCCGGAAAAGGACCACGGCAGATTAGCGCCAAGGACCAGATACTTATACCTGCGACCGACTCTACACCTCGAGAACTCTCCAGTGAACGCTCGCCCCGGCAGCACTTCTTTTTCACTAACTTTGTTTTCAATAAAAATACTTTTATTTTTACCATTGAGAGTTTTATTTTGCTGTACACCAATCAATTTTTTTGCACGATGTATTAGATATAAACTAATTGTGGTATGTATATGAATAGGTATGTGTTTATAATTGTAAATAAAATTAATTTGTTTTAAAATAATAGTTTTTTCTGTTCTATAAACTGCATATAATAAAAAATAAATATAAACATACAAATTTGATAATTTGATATTTTTAAAATCATTTCAAGTTTCTAATAAAAAGTGCTAATTACTATTTTTTTAAGCACTGTGTTTAGTTTGTGAGTCTGTGTCAATGACCTCTGATATTGACCTACTTTAAGTGATCTACATAATATCAAACCACCTGTGATATGATAAAAGGGTGATATTTAGTGATGTGTGTTGTGTAGTGTTATTTGTTTCAGTATTTAGCGATGGTATAGTGTGTTTGTGTGTCTTCATAGTTAAATTTGTGTGATATTGTGAAAAAAACATGTATACAACTCAAGAAAGGTGAGATTAGACAACAATACATATCTTAGCTCGCAATTGGGCATACGCTCAGCGTTATTTAAGGTTATAATAGCTTGTCGAGTGGCAGGTATGAAAACTATGAAAAAAGTTCATTCCAAAGTTTGAAAAAAACAAACTTATGTATATCTAAATTCAAACACAGCCTCTAGGTATATAAATATGATCCACATTCAAAGTTATATCCTGTATATAAAGATACTTTAACTGAATATCTAGTAAATAACCCAATGAAAACCGAGTAGGACCCTGTTACGAACCGCGTATCCTTAACTCTTGTAACAACCATTTTTAATCTAGAGGGTGTAATTTTGAGTGGGAATCATATTTATACAGAGGCTTCCTTTGACCTTTAGAAACACGTATCAATAGTTTATTTTTTCAAATTCACCCCCTTCGCTTCGTCACCGTTGACCCGCACTATCTCCCTCCACATGCACTGTAAGTTGCCAACAATCTTGTTATATAAGTACATGAGTATTACGGTGGTGGCGTACACAAGAATTAAAGTGCATTTTAAAAAACTAATTATAAATTGACCATTTATTTGTTAAAAAAAAAAGAATTTCAGATTCGTATTCAGGGGAACACATACTATTATTACCCCTAAAATACTGAGGTTCACTTAAATCCAAAATCCAAATCTACTCTTACTTACAGCCTTTTTTAAATCCTTGTGAGTTTCTACGTTGAAGCCCATGTCCTTGAACAAGGTACGTAGATTTTTCTCATCTAGTTCCGCCCCCTTACGTTCCTGCTTCTCTTGCAGGAATTTTATATTATTAATAATCAGTACGTTTCCTCTGTTTTTACCCTTCGTATTGTACGTAGGAATACGAGGATCCTCTTGAATGTTCGGTTCATTAGAAGTTGGTAGAGAATGAGTACTTGGTGCTGTATTCAACGTAGTCCTAGATTCAGGGAGGTAACTGCTGTACCTCGGTAAGACTTGGGCGTTTGGAGACGGTTGGATCGGAAGTGTCCTTTGAGGAGGCTGCTGAAATGTAAATGGCCTAGCGTCGGTGGAATAAGGGGCTAATTTACGAGAGAAAATACTTTTGTATCCCCCTTCGTTAGCAGATGTTAAACGTGCCGTGCTAAACGGTGGGGCGTCGATCGCATGAGTTCTGTCACCGAGCGGTTTTAGGATATTCGAATTGTTGCCGAATAATGATCCACTGTTTGTAACTGCTAAAAGATAAATATTTTCATGTAAAAGGGAAGCGGAACGGGTTGAAAATTTTGAAATTAACAAAATATTTGAGCAAGAGACGATTTTTTTTTTATCAAATTTTTTTCACATTTTTATCAAAAATCGACATGTTGCATTGAAATTTGGTACAAGTAAATGTTTGAAGATGATAAATATGTCAATATTCATTCAAAAAAACTAATCATTTACTAGAATAACTAAATAAATTAAAATTTCCAATGCCCCGTATGTCATGAATGTACATTAGTAGTTTGGAAACAATCTCACTTTATGAAAAAAAATTAATGGACTACGTACTACGTCACATTAAATTGGATTTTTCTCGTAGATAATGCATTCACAGCAATAAATACCTTTTTCTGTGTAAGATCAAATTTTGTACTATAGTCCAGAAAAATAAGGAAAAAATGAGCCAACTTTTTTACTCTGAGATTTTTGTATCATTGTAGGTTTTGAGGTCAGAAAACATATGGCACACACGCAACCACCACCAACATACAGCACTTATTTCCTAAATCGTTTCGGAGATAGAGGGCGTTGAAATAGAATTTTCTTTCCCGCTTTTCCCTCATAACTTTTGAACCACTCATCCGATTGCGGTGAAATTCGGAACACAAACACTCCTTACAATCTTATATAAGCTTCTCAAGTTTGAACCACTTAGAAGTGTGTTTTATATGCTACCCCCTGCTACATTATTTCAAAACTTCAAAAAAATTAATTCATTTAAATAAAACAGCTGCACACCACTTTTGTCTCATTAATTTTGAAACTGTTTCGTCTTTTGTTTTTTTTTTTTTGATATATGCCTTTATTAAGGAAATTACTTACCGTTTTGTTAGCCTCTGCAACCAGTAAGCGCATCCTACTGTCGTAGAAATAAACATGGTAAGTGAACAAAAAAAGCTTGATCGTGCAAAAAAGTATTTTTAGTGCTAAGGGGAAAAATTCCTACTTCAACGTCCTCTAATCTCCAAAATGTAATGTAAATGTAATGTAATGTAATTTAGGAAATAAGTTACCCGTTACAATATCTCAATAAAAAAGCATTTTTTCGAAAAAAGTTTCAAATAAAAGTTGTTCAAAATTAAATTTTCTACAAAATGGTATCTAAGAAAAATTTTGATTTTCCCAATAGTTTTCCCGTATACTCTAATAATGTTTTATTGTAACATATGATAGTAATAGTTTAAATAATTAGATGGATTTGACAAGGTCTAAGGACGCTTAGAGTGTACGATAATTCAAGAAACAGAAATCTTGAAAAAAAATAGATAAATTTTGAACAAATAGATTGAAGATGAATTTTTAAAGACAAAACATCTCAATCTGGTTCGAGCTGACAGTATTGGGGGTCATGAAGGCTTGTAAAAAATGTAATAAAATTTCTAAGCTCGTATTTAAAAAAATTAAGTTGATGGTCCTGGAGAGACGAAACGTTACATATAAAAATTGTTTATGCCATTCGATAGAAGGCAAAAAGTGGCCATTAGAAAGTGTTCTACTTTTTTCAATATCACCTCAAACAAGGTTGAAAATAAACAAAAACAGATTTACAAAATTTCGTTTTTTTTTTCAAATATTTCGAAAACTAATCATGCTAGCTTTGATTTTTTAGAGACACAATGTTGCTCCTCTGATTACGTAACTCTGTGTAAATTCTTGGAAAATCTTATATAGTTTTCCCGATATATGTCTGTATCTCAAAACGATGTATGTTACTGGTGGTTGCGTGTGTGACATGTTTTCTGTCCTAAAAACCTACACTTTTTTATAAAAATTGCCAGAGTAAAAAAGTTTGCTTATTCCGTCTTTTTATGTCTAACTTTCCTGGACTATTACATGTGATGCAATGTCCACAGGAAAAATCTAATTTTTTGATATTTTATTTGTTTTTTTTTTTCAAATTCCTCTATACCTGCTATATTTAAATATACATACTAAGCATAATTTAATAAACCGTGTGGCTTACTTGATTTTCCGAAATCCTTATTCGTCACCCTCACAGAACTATAAGCTGTCGACGTGTATGTCACAGATCTAAAATAATAAAAACATTGTTAATTACCTTCTTTGTTCATTCTACAAACATTCTACTTGTGACGTGTGTGTTGTATACTTAATAACGTGTAACAATATGTAAGCATATACAATTAATTTTAAGTAGCACCGTTTAAAACATACCGATGCTCCACTGTATTCTCTGATAATCTCCTTTCGTACTTAACCTGGCTAGTTGTGGTTGTGTCTCTGAAAATAAAAAAAAAATATAAATTAAATTTAAATGAATTGAACCATGGATACTATTTATATTCATAACTTTTACCAAACGAAGACGTAGTTTATAGTTTCAATGTAGTTGGGGCTGCAGTAAAATGCAAAGGGGATTGGACAAGGACATCATAATGTCATTTTGCACCAGTTTTGTTAAGTGCATATTTAGTGTCTTTTGAGTATTTAACCTATAAAGAAATTTTTAAATACCTTATTCAAGCCCTGCCTTTCAAATTGATAAAAGTATCAAACCAAGAGTAATAAAATGGCATGTTTGTGAAACAATTTTGTTATGCTGTAGCGTTAAAGTCAAATGTACAAAAGAAACTAGATCTTACAGCTGCCGTATAGGACATTTTTAGTATACGACCTAGTTTTTATGGTCACTGTCTGTAGTACTTTGATGTTTCTGGCCAATAATGAACAATTTCAATTATTTTGGCAGAAATATGTACCTAAATGACCATTATTCCGAAGCTATCAATCATATCATCACATCGTCAGAGTTAAATGGGAAAAAAGAGGAAAAATGTAAACCAACTAACGATACAAAAAATAATAAAATAGAGATGTTTAATAACTGGTATGAAGCAAAATATATCGCACTTTACACTGATAAACATGATGCAAATATATGGTAAGATCCATCTTTAAATGTAACAAAATGAGTAAGGTAACGTTGGTACATTTATTTTAATATATTTAACATACCGTTAACTTTGCATGCAGATGTCAAACTCATTGGTCTGCCTTCTAATATAACATAGTACGAAAGTATATTATCAGGTTAAAAATATAAATACCAAAACTTAATAATTTAATTTTAAAAAAAACAAAAACTTGGAACTACTTGGAAATATCTTAAGAAGGATATCAAAATCCCAATTGAAATTTTCTGTTAAACTTAATAATTAATAAATAATAGCCTTTAAAACAAATATTCAAAGCAAATAAATATGGAAGAGAGAAGTATGGATTATCGATTATCCACTTATATGATTTGTTAATGCTAACAATTACATTTCATAATTGTGTTGGTATTAATAATATTTACATTCCTGAAAACTGATATTAAGTAAATAAAAATATCAAATATAAATGAAATTTTATAAATCAAATAAATAATAGCTAAGTAAACAAAACTACAAATTTCAAAGTAATGTAAACAATTCTTAGTACCTAGATTGTCTACTTATTGATATTAAAGTTCAAAGGGTTGTACATATTACACAAAAAATTAAATTATTTAAATAACGAACTGATATACCTATTTTTATATAAAAGTCAAATGCCTCCAATTTTTATTCGAGGAATGATTGCATCATACATTAGTGTACAAAAAAAAAAATCAAAACAAAATTATTTTTATAGGATACCTAAAAAATACAGTACGTTTTTGACCATTACTTTCCCAGTGGATAATCCTAAAAGGGCCCCTTTTTGTCACTGATGTATATTTATTCCCTACTGTTAAAAGAGACTAATCAATAATTTGATATTCACTTCATACCTTATCTATTGAATGAACTGTTCGTTTTTTTATATCAAAACGAAAGTCAGTTCTTCGTAAAAATATAGTACCTAATATATTATCTTTCTAGAAAAATAAAAAATATACTTTATTTTCCCTGTCGATGCAATTACCACCACTCTAAAATTATTTGTTTCTTAAAATATATGTTACTTTTCACTAACTTTTCTTTATCTATAGCTGTGAACAAATAATTGTTGTGCGACATAATTTTCAAAATTACAAATACATATTATTAATTTGAATGCAACTACAGGTACAGTCCATACGATATTTGTTGAGGTAGAATCCCAAGACGACGTCTGCGTCATTTTCTTTGCATTTGACACACCCGAGGTAGAAAGACATTGATGGTGTGGCGTTCACAGCAGCAGTGTTACGAAGGCCTGTTTCTTCGGTTATTTTCTTGGAATTCTATCTCAAAAAATATTGTGCGTATGGATTGTAAAACTGTACATACCTCGTCAAGAAATTGTCTCAGAGGATTTTTGCAAGTACTAATCAGCTTTGTATTTGCAATCTGCTTTCTCATAAATAACTATTTACTTTGGCAACCTTTAATAGAGGTCTGATGGATTTTTTTACTTTATCTTAAACTTTCAATGTTTATAAACAGTTTTAGGTGAGGATGATTTATTTATATATAATAGTATAAGATGTTTCACAGACATTGTTTATTAAACATTAAGTTGTATATGTATATTTTTGGAAATAATTGTTAATTTTTGGAGGTTTTGACAAATTAGTAGAAAGTATTTTAGGTTGTTTGTTATTGTTGAGTCTTCATTGTACATAGTTGTTCAAGTGATATTTGGTTTCCTCTTCCTCTTTACATATAGGCTTAGATTGGCTGATTGGCTTTCCTTAGGTTAGGTTGTGTTAGGTTAGATTAGGTTAAGGTACTAAATATTTAACATTTAAAATTACAATTTTTTATTTTTTTTGTCTATAACAGGTAACATTTTAATAAGATACTATTACCTTTCAACATTTTAACAATTCAGTTCAACAAAATCATCAGTAAATTATACAGACAAACATAAATAGCTTTCGTTTTAGTAGTATACCTTTAATTTATAAATAGCATTTAACTTTAACACGTCTTGGTACTGAGTAATTCACGTAAAGCATAAAGAAGTAAAGAACATACATTATTTTTCTTTCCTTTGTAACCGTGACAGAATATGAATATGTTATTATTCTCTGATTTCAGCAATTCAATTAAATTTAACTTCCAGCAAACCTTGTGTGAACACTTTTACAAATTATTGCACAATTTTATTAAGTTGCACAAATTGTCTCACCCAAACAAAAGTAGTTTAAACTGTTGTTTTCAGATAGAAATAAGTTTGTGTGCAACAGAACAGACTGTTTGACGACAGATGAGTATTTTCCTTTGTACATATAATAATCTACTATGTAATAAATACATATAAGGGCAAGAAATCTTTCGTGGATTTAAATAAGTAGATATCAATGTTTAAGATAAAAAAATTTAAAACAACTTTTAAGTGACTCACCCTATTTTACCCGATACAGACTTTTTTTCCTCTTTCTTTTGGTTTTTCTTGAACATAGTTATTTGTAATAATAATACACATATAAAATGTAATTAAATTCTACTATTATTTAACTAAATGGCACAAATTCACTATTTCTGGAATCGCAGTCCTCAAGCTTTAACTATCTATCTATCTATATTCATTGCCATCACTTATTGCACTGTAGAAATACTGAAACTGGAGAAAAAAAAAGAATTTTATCAGATAATTTTTATGATAAATATTTACAACAATTCCTTGTAGTTATGCAACCAATAATGTTTCATTCATGATCATGACAGGTATACACATTTTTCATGTACATATTCGTTATCTGATTAAAAATAGATATTTTTAAAAATGCTTGTAGTTAATAATATTAGCACTAATTTATGAAATGTGGTGCGAAAAACTGACACGTACAAGTTGTTAATTCTTTTATATTAAACAACTTCACGCGTTATTCCATAATTTTTAAGCTCATTCTTTTCAGTAACTGTTCTATTTCTTTAACTTACAAACCTTATTCTTACTTGTGCGTTGTGCGTGTAGTATATGCTCGAAGTTGTGCGTACAATTAGGTTTGTTTGTTTCTGCAGCAGTCTTAGAGCATATACTACATGGACGAAGTACCGTCTCTTAAAAAGTGTAGGCGTAGTACTGATAGTTTGGGCACAGTATAGAAAACATTAAATTCACTGCCTATCTAACCTATTTATAAAAAATTGACCCTAGTTACATTTTTTATGTCGTTTTACGTGACTGCGCAGAGACCACGCGCAAGTAGGGGAGTCTCAAAAGCTGAGAGCTAAGCTGGGCTTGTTGGTGGACTAGGGGTTGGGCTTGCTATTGCGCATAGATCACGCGTCCCTTTACTGGACTTTTAGAGCAGAGGGGTTGTGGTCCACAAAAGAGGAGGAGTGAATTTGGGTGAGTACCGCGAAAAAGGAGACGAGTGACAGAGAGAGAAAGAGATAATTTGGGTATTTTCTTTCTCTCTCGCACAAGCACGTGATTGGCTAATGCAACTCCTTCTTCAACGGTTAGAGAAAGAGAGAGAAGAAGTACCCAAAGTATCACCCTTTCTCTCTACGGCGTCTACACTTTTTAACACGCGGTGTTTTCTCTATGTAGTACACGCACTGTATAACCTATTACGTTGACTGAATTGTACTACAGAATATTTCAATCAACGCCTATTATAAGGCTTCTTTTAGTACTGTCAGCGGATAGACGAATAGAGTCTGTGGAACCAAAACACACCTATAGTTTCACATGTAAAATGTTACTTACTGAAACGAAAGATCCTAATGTAAATGCCCTTGTCCTTCATACTCTACGCGGGAAACTGTTGAAAAGAACTTTGCTAGCTTCACGCTAATATTCGTTGTCAAAACTTGACTGTTTTAAGGGAAACTGTTGTTGTTTTGTGAATTGTATTAATATTAAATAATAATGACTTTTATTTTAATCAGTTAACACAATGTTAATTCATCTATTTCAAAAATTCGCAGGTGATTCATTGCTTCTATTGTATCTATCTAACTGTGCATAACGTTAAACAAATTGGGTACTCCACCATACTAATTATTTATCTTCGTAAATATTGCATTGCTGATCTTAAAATATAGTTTATTATAAAATATTTTAACAGACCATTTATTTTTGCATTTTATTAAAAGGATATATACATATTTTTTAAACAAAATTAAATATTACTAAATCTGTTTAACTTAACCTTATTTTTTATTTTAGAGTCATCTTTGTAAGTGAAAATGAATGATTAGTGTATTAAAAACATAATGAATGAGGGAGAAAAAAGCATTGTGAATGTTTGCCAAGAAAAAAATTCAGGAGAAGTATTAAAAAAACACAATTATGAAGTTGTGACCCCTGTAAGAAGAAGTACTCGTATTAAGAAGGTAAAAGTATCAGATGAGGTGGGTAATAAAGGAGCACTCGAACTAAATGACGCCTTAAAAAATATTGAGTTACCAAAAGAAAAAGTACAATCTGAAAACACCACTTCTAATCAGGCCAATGCAGATACTGACTGTAACAGTAGTACTGTTTCAAGTGTAAATAAAGGTTTAGACGCAAGTGATACAATTTTTCAAATCAATGATGGAGAAGAAAAATCTCTTGAGGCCATGTTTGATGACATATTTGAACAAAGGTACTCGAAAACTCCTAAAAAGTTAAGTAATGATCAAGTGAAAGATAGAAAATTTTTCAAAAGAGATAGTTCAGAAACTTCAAAATTAAATTTCTCCAGTTACCTGTGTAACAGTGGCAACTTGCCTGCGGAAGATGTTAGTAAAGTTTTTAAAATCATATCTAAACCTAACCCTTTATCAGACATAACAGCTGACTCAAAACCTTCTTCAAAACCTTTAAAAACATACTCAAATAAAAGAAAGTGTTTTCAAAAAACTAATGTCATCGAGAGTTTCGGTTTACCAGATCATCCGATAGCACCTGAGAATATACCTTTGATAGATGATGAATTAGACGTAACAATTGAGAATGTGAATGACATAACAATTTTAGATATGGAATATATTACTGAGCCCTGGATAATTGCAGCGGAAGGTGAAGACTTATTTCCCGTTGTGGAAGAGATAAGGACAAAATCTGAACCTACGCATGATCCTTTTAAGAAAAACGGATCATTCTTAGATTTTGCAGACAGTTTTGAGAGTTTTATTGAGCCTGCAATTTATACATCTGCGCCTTTCAATTCTCGGGTTTCCGGAAACGATTCATTGGCTTTGAAGACTATTTCAAAAAACACAAAAAGCATTCACAGAAATAAAGAAATTGATATAGAGGCCATAAAAATTAATTTCAAAAAGATTCTTAGCAGGACAGATATTTCAGAACCTCAGAAACAGGTAAATAAACCCAGCAATTTCACATCAAAAAAGAAAAACTCGATCTGTTCAAAAAACGCTAATATTTCTTCCGCAAATACAGATATATTGTTTGTTGAAGAAAATAGTTTAACAGTAGATAATAAAGAGTTTGAATTTTCACATAACTTAATTGTGCCAAAAAGCAATAGTTTAGGTATAAGTGATGAAAATATATCAAAAAACGATAACAAAAGAGAATCTAATATTATTGGAAAGAAATTAAGATCGTCAGTGGGCAGTGGTGAAGAAAAAGAAGAGAGGGACAAAAGTAGAGACAAATTAAGGACTTTGTCAAGGAAACAAAAATCCTTACCTGCGGATGAAAGTGTTGAAGGTGTATTACCAAAGAAGGTTTCAGAGACTGATAAATTTATTTCAAAATCCAAGTGCAATTTACAAAAAGAAAAACACTTAGACCAACAAAAGAGCACGAAAGAAGGTGATAAAATAACTTTTGAGTGTAGCTGTTTTGATAAACGAATATTAAGGTCAGCATTCCAAAACAGTCCAAGTGAGGTAAAAAGTTCCAATGAAAACAGTACAAATGAAATAAATAACGACGGCGTTAAAAAATGTGACTGTTCGATTAAAGTAAACAGTAGTAATGTAAATAGCGTGATAGAGAAAGAACCCGAGAAATCCGAGACTCTTAAAAAGAAAGTACGGTCGAGTAATTCACATGCTAAGGTAGAGCAGAATAAAAATATTTCTGAAATTAAATCGCCAGCAACAAATGTAAACGCAAAAAATAAAAGAACTTTGAGATCTGCAAGTCAAGAGTCTTTAGAACAAACAAAACCCTCAAATTTATGTAATATTGAAGACCTTAATCGACAACGAAACAAAATAGTATCTGATGTAAAGGTTACCTTAGAAAAATGTAAGTTTGAGAATGATCTGAGTCTTTCGGTAACGGACAGTTCCACCAATACCACATCAAATTTTCAGGAAATTCCACAGGAAAACAAAGGTATGGACAAATTACTTACTCCACTGAAACAAGGTAGAAAATCAGTTCCTGAAATAATTATTATTTTAAATCCTTTAGATATGGCAATATTAAATGAAAAATTACCTGAACATTCAAAAAATGCATTTCATAATATGTCACCACCTAGAAGAAAATTGCGTTCAACTAAAGCTGCAACTAATCAGATCACAACAGATCAAAAAGAAAGAGGTTTGGTTAACGAATCCAGCAGACAGGATAAAAAATCTTCGTGTGATGCTAAAAATGTAGCAGTAGAATCTTCAAGTGTTAATGAATCGATGATTGACAATTCGGTAGCTACATTGGAAGGGAAAAAATCTGAACTCGAAGAAAGAATTATCGACAACAAGGATTCCCATAAAACTGAAATTAATATCAAAACAAGGAGAAAAGACAAATTTATATCGAAAAGTTTAACATCTATCGACTCTTTAACAAGCAACGGAATGGAAGGAATAGAAAATAAAGTGAAAAAACATCATTCGCTTTGTTCGGAAATTAAAACTGCAGAGGAATATAAAAAAGATTCTGAATTTAACACAATTGAGGTAGCAAATTTACACCATGATACAAATTTGATTGAATTTCTAAATAAGGAACAAAATAATGACGAAATATTCAATACAATAGCAAATAGCCAAACGATTGATAAAAACATTTCTTTAAACTTCCCACTTTGCAGTGTATATTTGGAAAATACTGACGTCAGTATATCGGAATCATACACAATAACAGAATGCACGGTTTTAGAAGAAAATTGTGAAGCTGAGCAGTCAGTAGATATAAAAATTAACAAGTCTCCTACAATGAAGAAAACCGAAAGAAACGATGAGACTGTGAATTTAAAATGTAACGTGAAGGTCAACCATAACTTAGACCTAAGCAATAACTACACATGCAGTGAATCGCAAAAAGCAGAAGAGAATGAGAATTTAAAAACTGACAAATTACCCCCAGAGGACAACCAAATTGTACAAAGTGACGTCAAAAACAATGTATCAGAAGCGTGTAACTCAAAAGTTGAGGATTTGTTGAAGGAAGAAGAGGATAAAATTATGTTTACAATGTCGCTAACGGCTAAAACGGAATCCACTAAATATTCGGATAAAACTAAACTATTAGATGAAAATATCTGTATAATATCTGAAAAAATAGTCATGGTGGAATATACTAGTGCAAATTTATCATCCGATTCCCAAATTTCTAAGACTAAAACAGATAGCATTAAAGAAAGTAGTACATCTACTGTTGAGCCACCTGAAGGGACCATAGAAGAGAATGGTAATGTTCTCGTTGAAAATAACAAAACTCAAGATATTACTGAGACAGAATCACAAGACCAAGGATCTGAAAATTCTTTGAAAAATGAAAACGTAGCTCAACAAGATACATGTAATAAATTTGAAGAAATAGTTTTGGAGAAACAGAATTTGGCTCAACGTCCTGAGGAAATTATTTCACCTATCAAATGTATATCCGATGAAACACATTTGAACAAATTAAATTTAGATAAAAAATTTAATACAATACCTCATACGAATACAGATAAAGAGATTCTTGATTCGACAACCAACTATGACATACTTACTAAAAGCAGAAATAAAGTTGAAGACAAGTCAGAAAAGGTGGTAAAGCACCCAGGATCCAGTGCTAGGCTGAAGGAAAAAAGAAGGAAATTACTTGGAGCAAAAGCCCTTTCTGCTGAAGAATCAATAAAGAGAAGGTCTTCAAACGAATCGTCCCATCCCCCGATGATTAAAGAAACCTTGACTGATAGCAGTCATTCATGTTTGGAACTTCCATTAATACCTACTAAAAAGCGAGGAAGACCTAAAAAATCGAAAACGGAAAATGACCTCTCACCACAGAAGCCTACCAAACCTAAATCCAGAGGTAAGCCTCCAAGAAGAAAATCGAGTACTTCCGAAAATGATCCGTCACCAGAGAAATCTACTCAACGTAAGTCCAGGGGCAGGTCTCAAAAGAGGAAATCAGATACATCCGAAAACGATGTGTTACCAGAGAAACTTACTAGACATAAGTCCAGAGCCAGATCTCAGAGAAGGAAATCAGATACTTCTGAAAATGACCTGTCACCAGAGAAACCTACCAAACCTAAGTCCAGAGGTAGGCGTACAAGAAGAAAATCGAGTACTTCCGAATATGATCCGTCACCAGAGAAATCTACTCAACGTAAGTCCAGGGGCAGGTCCCAAAAGAGGAAATCAGATATATCCGAAAACGATGTGTTACCAGAGAAACTTACTAGACATAAGTCCAGAGCCAGATCTCGGAGAAGGGAATCAGATACTACTGAAAATGACCTGTCACCAGAGAAACCTACCAAATATAAGTTCAGAGGCAGATCTCAGAGACGGAAATCAGATACCTCAGAAAATGATCTGTTACTAGAGAAACCTGTTGGACATAAGTCCAGAGGCAGGTCTCAGAGAAGAAAATCAGATACTTCTGAAAACGATATGTCACTAGTGAAACGTATTAGACATAAGTCCAGGGGCAGATCTCGGAGAAGAAAATCGGATATTTCCGAAAACGATGTGTCGCCAGAGAAAGCTACTAAACTTGAGTCGAGTGGCAGGTCTCCAAGAAGAAAATCGTTAGATGATACCGACCTATTACGTAGATATAAGGAATACCGTAAACAAAAAATAAGAAGTAAAAGTATGGCACCAAGTACTTTGGAAAGTAGAAGAAAAGCGAAAGACCGAGATAGTCTGGAAAGTAGCAAATACTGGATCGACTTATACGCTGCAAATAAAGATTGTGAAGAAGACAATACGGATTTGTTAAATAAGTATAAAGATGAAGCGAAAAGCAGAAACGTGGCAAATAAAATTGAAACGATGTTCAGAAGTGGAGATGAATTACAAGGCATAAAAAATTGGACATCTAAATTTAAATCAAGAAAAGTAAATGAGTCGCAGGATGGTGTAACATCCAATAAAGTATCAGAGACAGACGCTAAGAACAGTATAAATATAAAGAAAAGTCAAAGTTTAGGGAACCTATCATCTATGGAGAATATTCATCCAGGTACTTGAACGTTTTTAAAATTTTACTTTTTAAATATTAATTCATGAAAATTTTTAGGCTCTAGAGACTTCAAAGTAGGGGACATCACATGGGCACAAATAGGATGGCATCCATTTTGGCCCTGTTTGATTACAAAGGAACCGGGGACAAGCAGTCATAAAAAGATATGTAAGTTATTGATACTACAATATTTATTTGTTTTTTTGTACCTTAAGCCTCTATGTGACTTTTAAAATCATTGAATATTATATTTAAAAATTTATTTTCTATTCCCATTAGTTTTGGCTATTATGCCATATACAGTGATTCGGTACTTATCCGAAAAAAAATTTTTTTGGATGTAGTCTTACAAATACAATTTCGTAAACAAAAAAATCAGAAAGGGCAGTTCGAAAATGATTTAAAAATCCACTTCTACACGGCACTGGAATCTGGTACATTGTGAAACCTGACCTAGCACAAGACGACCGGCACTGCTGCAAAATGTAATAAAAAATGAATGGACAAAAACTTGAAAGGATTTCGCAGCACAAATGTTGTCTTGCTTCACCATAAATCAAAACGATACCCATCAACTCCGAGTTGCTATACACGTAAGCCATTTTTGGTACTAACTTCTAAAAAACTATTGTAAACAGTATCACAACGACGTTCATACTAATTGTAAAATCGGATTTTAGTATTCGGAGTCGCGGGGACCATTGCGTAAAGCACACAACACGAATGACGCTAGAGACTACAGTTGTCCAGCAATGTTTTAGTTGAAAGTATTACAACTTCTCAGAACCTATAAGGATTTTACAAATTTTTTTTACGATATTGACTCCATTTCTCATGCCACATCTATTCCCATATTTTTTTGGATAAGTTGTGAACCACCCTGTATAGAAAACAACTTTAACGTATAACAATTTAATATATTGTTTGTTTTTCTCTGAAAATAAATGTTTATACTAAATTGAAGAGGACTACAACTTACCGCTGTTAACCTTCATTGTGTTATAATAGTAAAAAAATTCAATGAAGATGAAAAGAAAAGGCTATGCTTCCTTACTGCTTGGAGTTTTATGTCTTTATATTAGATGTTATCCTATGTTGAATTTTTAGTTCAAGGGATATTAATTATATATTTTCGAAATTTTAATGGTCATAAATCAAAAAAAGAGTTTTTAATAGTCGTGTGTCCGGAACATTTAATTTTCCAGATATAGGGTGTTGAATTTAAAAAAAAATGTACGATATTGATTTTAATACTTCATAAGGGCAAAATAATTTAAATAATATAATAATTTGTTTGGCAAAAAAAGTTATAGGAATTTATTAGGGCAATATTTTTATAATTTTAATCTTGACACTGAAAATTTTTCAGAATATAACAGTAAAATTAAATAACATGTCATTTATTAAGTTCTTTTATTTTTGAAATAGGTACTTACTGCAATATTATTGTGCTGCTATCAATTTTACTGAAAACTATAAAGTAATTATGCATGTTCAGGGACGTTTATCTATCCCTGTTACCAGTTATAAATATCAAAATACGTTAATTATATTTTTGGTGAATCATATACAACCAATATAAACTTTTAAATAACAACAATACAATGTACTATATAAGTTGGTTTTTTAAGTTTTACTCGAAAATCAGTCTTTTTTCGAAAAACATAACGTAGTATTTGTAGAAAATTGAAAGACAAATTCGAAAATATCATGGTTATTACCCTAAAGCAGTGGCGTACTATTTTATTTAGAAAGATATGGCACCGATACCCTGTATCGGTGCCACTGGAGCATGTAAATTTTAGGAAAAGCCTTCAGATTTTGGACAATGTTTACATAAATACATGTACCCAATTTCAAATTATTTCTCTTACAAGTTTTTAAATTATAAAAAATATTTTTTGAAGTTTAACACCCTCTATCTTTTTAACGAAGCCTAGATAAAAACTTTATAGGAAAGACTCCCCTTAAAATCCACCAAAGAATACGAGGTTCCATTTTTGGTCACCATTTGTGGATCACCCTGTACATTAGTTTACCTAAACACCAGAATTTTTTTTTTTAAATTCTCTTCTCTTTAGTTCAGGCTAAACGCTTTCAGAAGGAGATGTACCATGTTCGTTTTTTTGGGGACAATGGAAGAAGAGCTTGGATCAGCAAGCAACAGATAATGTTATATTCTAATCGTGACGATTTAAAATTATTACGGGAGAAAATGAAATACGAGGTAAGAAAATATTTATCCTAGACGATGTCATCCTTACCTGACCGATATCGATTTTTTTTTTCTTTTTTAGAAGAAACGTGTACCATCAGGATACATTGTAACATCAAAATCTTTACAAAAGTGGGAACGAGCCATAGACGAGGCAGAACAAGTCAAGTTAAAAAGTGTAAAAGAAAAATTGTTGTTTTTTACTGACATAATTTCCAAAATAAATCCACCAAAAGAAAGAGAATCTACACCGCCTGGTGTATCCATTTCAGTCAAAAGAAAATCTGATGAACTTGACAAGAGTGCGCAAAACTGCTTGTCACCGCCAATTAAGAAGAGTAGCGACGAGAAAACCAAAAGAATGCATAAAAAGAAAGTTTCGGGTGAAAATGAAGCCCTCAGTGAAAGCAAGGAAGAAGTTATCGAGGATATAAACCAAATCCATCAGATCGAAGACAATATTGAACAGAATGAAAGTATTTTGAACAAAACACATCCGAGACGACAAATTGATGAAATCTCGGAAATTGATTCCAAAACGAGTTCTGATAACATTACAGATTCTGACACCTCACTAAATGCCATGGAAGCACAAAAAACCTTGTATAAGAGAAACAACTTGTTTAAAGGAATCTCGAGGGACAAGGTGTGTCAATACTGCTTTAAGCCCGTAGAGGTTCTAAAATGTCGAGGTAGATGTAACGGCTCGTATCATGTTTCTTGTTCGTTAAAAATTTTATTGGAGAAGATTCCCAGGAAAAGGAGAGAAAAAAATGTTAATAAGGACACACTAGATCATTTGAATGTTGAAATAATAAGAAATAATGTAGATAAATCTACTCCAACTGTAAACTCGGAATGTTTAAATGAAAGCACAGAAATAGACGACCAAACCGTTCAAAACGGTGAAAATTTTAAGTCACCGTTAACGGCCCAAGACCAAGTTCAGATAATAACCGTTCCTTCTAGCGTGTACAACACCCCACCCAGAAAAACTTTTCCTCCGGATTTCAAAAACATGACTTTAGCCGAGCAAATTGACTACAAAATGAAGGAAATAATGAGAAAGTTCGAAACAAAAACGTTTTATGCAGACTCGTGCTCCGACTTGAGTTCTGAGCAGAATCCAGGAAAACTTACTCTGTCACAAGCTACTGGTGTAAACACCATGATTACGAACCTTAATAAAAGCGATGAAAGTAAAATTAACGAATTGGGAACGAACGACGGTGCTAAAAATGACACTAACCTCTCAAACGATATACAAAAGCTAACAACTTATAATAACATTGACAAGCAAATTGAAAAAACACTAAAACCGATAACTAAAAAACCGTTTTACGTCAAACACGTTACAGCCGACTGTGACGGTTTAAAAACCGACACGATTCAAGAGGAGAAATCAAACGCTGATAAGGATTCGTTCGGCTGCTCAGAGGTGGATCCGAAAAATTTCAAATGCGGGTTTTGTACATCCGACTTATATCCGTATTGTTTCATTTGCCACCTAGCTGTTTCCAAGAAGGGCTCGAATATACGACAGAAATGTTCCATCTACCCGTGTGGACGATTCTACCACCCAGAGTGCCTGAAAATGTGGCCGCAAACGCAGTGGTCGCTTATCCAGACCACTCGACACAAAGATTCTGATAAGGACATGGACAGTTTCGTTTGCCCGCTCCACGTTTGCCACACTTGCGTCTCTGACGATCCTCGGGCCGCTACCGCGCGGTGCTCCGGCGATAAGATTGTTAAATGTTTGCGTTGTCCTTCGACTTACCATTCCTCGAATCTGTGCGTCCCGGCTGGCACGGCCATCCTCAGTTCCTCGCAAATCATCTGCCCTAGACACAGGGAGAAAAGTAAATCGTACACCATAAACACCACTTGGTGTTTCCTCTGTTCCGAGGGCGGGAATTTGATTTGTTGCGAAACGTGTCCCACTAGCGTCCATCCGGAATGCTTGCCCGTCAATTTGACGGACGACGATAAGTTCATCTGCGAGGATTGCGAATCCGGCAGGCTTCCTCTCTACGACGAGATCGTGTGGGTGAAATTAGGCAAGTTCCGTTGGTGGCCGGCGTTGATTTTATTCCCCAACGAAGTACCTGATAATATAAGGAATATGAAACATAGCATCGGCGAATTCGTGGTGAAATTTCTAGGTACTTATGATTATTATTGGGTTACCAGGGGGCGATCGTTTTTATTCCAAGAGGGCGACGCTGGGCAGTGCAATTCGGTGAGGAAGAAAGTCGATGCGGCGTTTAATAGAGCCGTAGAAGAGGCTGTGGTGGCCCACAAGCTAAAAAAAGGTTAGTAATGTTTTCCTTTTATACTCGTAGCAAATTTTAATCGTCAGTGTTGCGAGAAACTACTCCGAGGGCTATAGGCCCCTACCGACATTGAATTATACTCGCAACACCTAGGTGCAACAGCTAGGGTCGTTCGTCAGTTTAACCCACCAGGCACAGACCGGTTTCGGATTTATTAGTCCTCATCAGTGTGTCATAGGTGAGACAACCGACGAACAAACCAGCTGTTTTGCCCGATACGGCGTTCGTCGGTTGTCTCACCTATGACACACTGAGGAGGACTAATAAGTTCAAAACCGGTCTGTGCCTGGTGGATTAAACTGACGAACGACCCTAGCTGTTGCACCTAGGTGTTGTGAGTATAATTCAATGCCGGTAGGGGCATACAGCCCTCGCAGTAGTTGTTTCTCGCAACACTGACAATTAAAACACTGTTTTCGCCCTCTGTGGGTGGCAGTCGTGCAACAAGTACCTGCAATAAAGCAGGTCGCTTCCTACTGTAGCCATTTGAATGGCACAGTTCGGAGTTAGCACGACAGATGGAGTCATTTGCGCTCCTGCGTACAATCGTAGCAAGTTGATTTCCGATTTTACGCTTTTTCAGAATTTAAACTTAGTCAGGAAGTTGAATCAATCACATCTTTAAAACCGCCGCCATATATAAGAATAAAAGTGAACAAACCCGTTGGTAATGTCCGACATTTGGACTTAGACCTTAGCAGCACCAATGCCTGTGAGTGCGATCCCAACAAACCCCATCCGTGTGGGCCAGAGAGTGACTGTTTAAATAGGTAAGCCATCTTTGAATTAACTAGACTCTTATTGTTTTTTTTTATAAGTTCAGGAATGTTGTAAGCACATGCAAGAAGTTTCAAATCGGCTAAATTTGAATTCAATTTTGTTTTTAGGTATATTCACAAACGAAACGAATACAATTTTTTTCGAAAACTGTTATCATCTCTTGTCGGCATTTTCGTTAAATTTTTAGTTGATAAAGTGAGTCTTTTTTGTCACCTAACTACAAAATACTTTTATATTTTAGAACGTCAATTTTTTGCATTCTAGAACAAAACAAATGTCAAAATAATTTGTCATTTTTTCGAAACTTATGGGCAAGTTCCATAGGCTCTGCTGAAGAAGGTAACAATTTATTTGCGATTGAAATTTTACTTTGTATAGAATCTTCTATAAATGTCTCTGCTACCGTATTTGAACGCCACCCTCCATGTTGTTTAATGGTGGTAATATCGGCCCCTGCATCGCCTAAGAGAGTGGCGGAAGAACGTCTAAAGCAGTGCATATGAGCTTCCGGACGAGGCACATTGAGATAAGTTGCTATTTCTTTTGGCATATTCCTTATTTTGTTGATGCCAACCACTTGGTTAAACATTTTTCCCTGACATACTTCACAAAAAATCTTTGACTTGTAACTGCTGGCGTAAAGCACAGTATTTGCGGTATATCTTCATTTGGTCTGGACTTTAAGTCACAAAATATCTCGTAGTATGAGTTTTGATATTGGGAATTCTTATACTAATTTAAATTTTTGTCTTTTATATTTTCAATTATTGAAATGACCTGAAAAGTTGTCCAAAAATAATGAAATCAATCGATTTATATTGATTTGAATTACATTTTCTAGCAGGTGCTTCGTTTAAAAATCTCTCAATTTCCTCTTTCGTTAGAATTGTGGACTTTTTCGAACGGTATTCAACTGATTTGCTTTGCAAATATGGTATTAGTTTTAGAAATTTTCTGATATTTACATTATTTTTGGCATTCAATGTACTTTTTAACATGGAATATACTGACCATAACGTCGAAGGTTTAATTTTATTAATTTTATGTTCAAAATATGCCAGTAATGTCGCTTCGGACACTTTTTAAATTTTCTTCAAACTACATTGCCCTTTGAATTCGTTGTAGGCAATCTCGTACTGTCTCGAGGATTTTTTGGAAATTAATTGTGAAACCACTTTGTGCCGCTTCCAGTACTCCCTGGTAAATGCTCGATTCTCTTTCCGAGTTCGTTTTGAATTAAACACTTAGAATATGAATTACGATATATAATTCTGACACAACTATTTCAAATAACTAATTTTTAGTATTTTTATGTTGCTATCTTTATGATACCACACCTAAACCAGCTTGATCGAAACACGGTTCAAAGGACTTCAAATATAAAATAAATTGTTGTATATAACACAATTGTCTTATTTTATTGCAGTTTTCGAAAAAATATTGTTTGCATCTCGAACGCGAAATCCTTTTGAGTTCTCGAATGGATATTTTGCCTCACTAAGCTCAGCAAAATAATTTCCATTCTTGAACGCAAAAGTACCATTTCACATTCTAGATACAAAAATAACTAATTTCGCATTGAATGTCATTTTATTTCCACACAAAATATCGTTTCAATATTTTCAGAAAATATTTAGAGAATTTTTATCTTTAATTAGGTAATTAATTAATCCAAATTTCATCACTCTACTGCAAATGTTATAACAAGTTTCAATACTATTTTGAAAATAAAGCGTTTTCAGACTTTTTCTTACTTATGCAACTTTAATTTAAACTTTAAATTTGGTCAATTAATCCTAAAACACCATGTATAATTAATATTTACTAATTTATCCAATTCTGTTATTGGGTTAGTCAAGGGCCCATCGATTCGATACAGTATAAAAATCAACCGAACCAACGTTTTCAGATTATTACTAACGGAGTGCAATCCAGAGGTCTGTCCCGCGGGAACAAGATGTAAAAACCAGTCGTTTGAAAAGCGCGAGTACCCACCACTTGTACCTTACAAGACCCAAGGTAGGGGGTGGGGTTTAAAAACGCTCGCTCCCATAAAAAAGGGACAGTTCGTGATAGAGTACGTGGGTGAACTGATCGATAGCGAGGAGTACCAGAGGAGGATTCAAAAAATGCACCAGCAAAAGGAGGAGAACTATTACTTCTTGACTATCGACAAAGATCGCATGATCGATGCCGGTCCAAAAGGTGCGACTAAATAATATTTAATCAAAGAATTATAAAAACTCTTTATTGATATTTTGTAGGTAATGCAGCCAGATTCATGAATCACTGTTGCCAGCCGAACTGTGAAACTCAGAAGTGGACTGTGAACGGTGACACGAGAGTCGGTTTGTTCGCTACGGAAGATATACCTGCGGATACCGAACTGACGTTTAATTATAATTTAGAATGCGTTGGTAAGGAGAAGAAAGTTTGTAGATGCGGCGCATCCAACTGCAGCGGCTTTATTGGAGTTAAAGCTAAGCAGGTAAAAAGTGCTACTTTTTATACGTCATATTACTTCACATCCACGAACACTTCACAAACTCAATTACTTCACATCCACTTATTAAACAGAATGGATCAGAGGTCGTGAAGATGTGAAGTAATTGAGGATGTGAAATATTTGCATCTGTAAAATAATGTAACATCTAAAAAGAGATAATAAATCAAGTCAAGTCTTTCCTAATACTTTATTCATTTCTTTAATTGTAAAAAATTATAATATCAGTACTATCGTAACATGGTGATTTTTGTTTCTGTTTAATATTTTGCTAAAGGAAATATTGGCGTGAAAAAAATTTGGCTTGTTTTTACAGGACACCGATATAAGGAAGCCGAAGAAGTCTGTGAAGAAAAAGGTACCTGTAGAACCTGTAGTATTACCTCCTTGCTTTATATGCGGTAAGAAAGGTCTTGTAATATCCTGCAACAACAAAGTGTGCAACAAAACGTACCACCAAGAGTGTTTGAAAACCACGGAACAGGTCGAGGGTAAGAAATCGCGTCCGATAAATGAATGGATATTAATTGTACAGTTTATTTTTTCCAGGGAACAAATTTATTTGTCCGTGGCACAACTGCAGCGTATGCTCAAAGCGTACGATTAGGTGTTGCGTAAAATGTATTAATTCGTATTGTCCGTCGCATTCCGACGGTAATATTAGGTACGATAACTTGCTTGGATTCGTGTGCACGACCCATGATCCCGTAAGTATAACTAAACTATTTCCTTTCGCTTTTTTCGTATATACAGGGTGATTTATTAGAATCCGTCAATATTTTAAAGGTAGGTTATTGCAGCATGAGTAAACATCACAGTTTAGCAAGTGTGAATGTGTTAAATGAGATCGTGATGCAAAAGTGTAACAATGACAACTTCTACTTCCCAAGAATGTTGTGTATTAAAGCAGCGCAGAACATTGTTATGTTGTACTTAATGGAGAAATTGTACGTACAGGGTGTATTTATAAATTTTGACCAAAGAATTCCCTTATACTTTTCCAGATTGGTATACACCCTGTATATATATTTTTTCATATTATTGCATTTCTTTTAATGTTTCTCAGTGTGGATATTAGTCAATTTTATTTTCCCCACATTCAAATACATCACCCTGTGCAATTATGGTGATAAATTATTATGGGCATACTTGAAACTATTTTTATTTTTTTTGTATTTCCTAAGACGACGCTACCTAATGACGTTCAGCCAGTATATAAGAGGAGGAAAAACAACGTAATCACAGAAGAGACAGCAGTAACTTCGACAACTTCGGACGACGCCGACGACGACGAAGATTGGTTACCGTTGCTAACGAGGCTTGAACGTATGCGTTCGAAAGGAATCGCTTCAGTCGATTCGGAAAGTGATAACGAATCAAACATTAACGCGCCTTCTACGTCTTTGATGGTTTACAATTACGAGTCGCAAGATGAGGACGCGGTTTCGAGCGCAACGCCGATCCATGCGGACGGGGAGATGGTTGTTAAAAGGAAACGTGGGCGACCGAGGAAAGTAAACCGACATGAAAAAAAAATTAAGTTAAGTAATGAAGAAAATATTGGAATCACTGCCAGTTCCTCTACAGTAGAAAATAGGCTAATTAATCTTAATAATTCTGAATTAACTAGTAGGGATAACAATTTAGAGAATCGATAGGAGTCTCGGAGTTCCAGGAAATTCATATTTAGTTTGTTTTATAGAAAAATATCCATATATAATTGGCAAATTATGTTTTATACAGTGCTTCTTAGGGCTATATGCGAAATAATTTTATTTATTGATATTGGAAAAATATTATGATTGATTTTCAATAAACTTTTATATATGTGTGTTTAATTGTTGTATATTTTCAAATGAAGTTGCAATAGTGATAATAAATGGAACTTTTTTAAATCTAATGGTTAATTTATTGCCTTGCGAAGCGTTTCATGACCTTTTCAAGAACGCAACTTGGACTCCCACCTCAGTGTTATTATACCTTATGTGTACAATAAATGTTACCAAGTTTTGCAAAAAATTTAAAATGTATAATATGCATAAATTAAGTTTTTCCTAGAAACTACACAATTGTGTTATTAATGCTATTAAAAATTCTTATGAAAATGATATTTATTAGTACACGGTCCTTTTAAACTGATCTATGCATATTGTATACCTAATATTTACAAACGGCATAGGAGTAAATCTTGTACTTGATAAAAATCAACACAACTCATTAAAACTTACCCATTAATAGTAATATAGTTATTTTATTTTATTTAAGTAGGAATTACACATCTGTACTAGACAAAGTAATCACTAATTTTTTAATTAAAAAATTCACTAATTTAAAAATTTGAAAACTAAAAACTAACTAATGTCATTACAGAAAGATGTTCTATTTCCGTGCTCAATGTGCTGAGTGCTCTATGCAGATCTTAGGTGCTTTCGTTTTGTAAAAAATAGTGGCTATTAGCTAAACAGAGTAACTCTCCATTGTAGAGTTTGGATTATAGATGGATTGTACGAATGCATGTGCATGTTATTAACTCGTAAAACAATTCTAATTCTTAGCTGATTACAATTAAAACAATCCATAATACAACAATATTTCGAAAATTATGATTGTATTAACATAAAATACAGATTATCTGTGATATTATAATACCATCATTTAATAGTCCTTTATTTTATTTTATTTTATTTACCCAAAAAAAATCAGCGATACAGATTCTATAGCCCAGAACATCGATATTAAATAATGAAAAACAAGTTTTATTTTAAAATCTTTAAATTGATCAAGCAATTAATAATATTAATGTTCTTCTTTGCCCTAAAATGGCGGTTTGACATCAGCCCTGTTCGTTAGATGCTACTCCTACTGGCTCCAAGAGATCTTGGATCATGAAGAGTACGGGCAGTGACGTCACCAGGTCTTTTAAGATCACAAAGTAGAACAGGCAGATCTTGGAGTAATTTGCCTGTGTTCGTGTTCGTCAAGACGACTTGAACATAACCTATCATAACAAATTTTTATAATATGTTAAAACACACACGTAGTTTTAAGTTTACTTTATCTAGGATATTTTAGCAGTTTTTCTTCTGTTATTTTGTCATGTGCCTTAACCTTAAGTAATAGGCAATGCTCTAGTTGCTTTACTCCCTTTCCTCCAGCACCAATGACAGAGTAACCAGAGCAATGATCTTATTGATCAAAGTAAAATACTCCTGCATAACAAACAACATAGAATTTGTGCTCGGCTTCAACGAATTCTGATAAAATACTCCGATTGAGTTGTCAAGTCAAGCAGACACAACGAACAGGACTATCGTTTTCTACTATCTATTTAAAAAATGTTAAAATTGAATGTAGTATTATAAATAGAATCATCATAATGCCCCCAAAATGGCTATTGTTTGCTGTATCATATTCTTTAATTTCCCTAACATTCAAAAACAACTATTTGTGAATCATGTAATTCAATTTGATTTTTTACCTTGTTGATCTGATCACGGATCCAGCTTACGAAGGGAATGTTAAATTTTGAAATGAGCCAAGGGTCATTTTTTACTTCATTTAAGTACGAATTGAACGCGACTATTTGTTAGCCATCGGTCGGTAAAGTAGTCTTCTCAAGTGACAATTAGCCGTCATTTTATATCTCATAATTCTGAAGGAAATGAGAAACAAGTGAAAATTTGTCAAAACAAGAGGTACTTTGACGTTGGGATAAAACCGCTGTATTATTTTGTCACCTGGGGAACAGTTCCTTTTACAAATGGTATCTAAATTATTTGTTTTCCAATCTACACAAAAAATAAATCACTGTGCCTTCACTGCAATAATTTTTTTTGTGACCCTATTGTTGAAGGTGAGAGAAACTTCTCAGGTGATATGTGTTTATTTTTTGAATGTTTCCTGTATTGATATTAATAGTGCATTGATATGTTTTATTTTTAAAAGCTAGTTACACACATACGATGCAACATTATACAAATAAATTTAGAAGTGACATTGGCATTGTAATAAAAACATTTCCTTGAAAAACATGCCAAATTGTTAATTTAGGGCCTTTAATTGATTGGTGGTTATTTAAAAATTTGTTTTAGGTGTTAGAATAACCATGTCGCATTGATTTATTTTAAGTCGACAAATAGATTAATGAGGATTAAAATCAAATATGATAAATTCATGACGAATAGTACAACAAAGCAAAAGGCATATTTAGTACTCAGGTTAGATAAATACCTCTAAAATGAGTGAAAGTGAACCAAAATGGGCTTGTGAATATTGTACATATGAGAATTATCCATCATCTTTAAAATGCACTATGTGCAGAGGTCCGAAACCGTTCATAAGTGAAGATATATATCGCCTACATGGCGATAAAATTAATGTAGATGAAAACTTTTCTTCCACCATCGGTTCCGCAGCCGGACCCTTGGAAAACAAATCAAAATGCCCTAAGAGACCTACAGAATATTGTACCTACATAAATTCCTCAAATATATGTATATATTGCGGGTCTACCCCAGTATCGGCCAATACTCTGCACGAACATATTCAGCCGTTGAAAATCTCTCAACATTCTGATTTAGCCCAAAGTTTATCTCAACCTAGAAACAATAGCCCTCCTGCAAGTTTAACCAACCTGGAGAATTCTAGGAGAACTTCGCAAGCAAAGTGGATTTGCTCGGTAAGTTTATTGATTTATTTTTAGTTAATTAATTTTTTAACTATTTTTGTCCAATAAGAAGTCAAATTATGTCACCACTTCAGTGTAAAATCTGTGTATCTCTAAATTTATAATTTTGAGATAAATTAATTAAAATATGCATTAAATGAAGAAGCTTGAAAGCTGCTAGATATTTTTTAGGCTAAAATATTATAATTGGCCCAAATATAAGCTATATTTAGTCCAAAGTTGTTTCATTTTTAATTACATGATATTTAAATTAAAGTTAAAGAAAATACATAAAGTAGGTAGAGAAATAATTGAATGATGATAAAGAACATTAAAGGAATAAATTGCATTTTGAACAAATTAAATTATGGCGTAGTTATCTAAAAATGGTTAATTTTGCTGTCTCGTTATAGTATTGAGATAACGATAATGTTATTGTTGTGTGGTGCAAATATGGTTTTAGTATTTATGTTTATTAGAATATGGTCAGAGTTATAACAAATATTTTTTATTTTGTTATTTTGCTACTTCTAGAGTATGATTTTATCGATATTTTATAAACTATATCAATTTTTATTCGATATTTCTCGAAGTAAGCAGTTATTCAGGTACATAAAGTATACATGTTAAAATAGCATCAGTATTAAAATAATTTCTCACACTCTGATGGTATGTTTCACATAACAGTGTTTTAACCAGAACACCAGGCGTGGGAAACAATTTTAATATCAATGCTAATTTACTTTTATTGATATAATGTCTCATACGTTCTTGGAAGTAGAATTATGTTCATCGATTGACCTTAAAATTTTACTCTTGTACTAGAGAATAATGAGGAATGACACAAATTTAAAAAATCACTTATTAATTTGAGAATTTCTCAGGTTATTTTTTTATTTAATCGTCTTTAAATTAATATGAAAACATTGTAAGGGACACTGCAATATCTGCAGAGGGAAAATCTCATTCCATTATTTGCAAGAATTTTTGTTTCGTTAAGTAATATATTTTTTCATGTTTTAATTAATAAGCAATATCTTTTTATTTAAATTGTGCGGTTTTAGTAGAAAAATTAAATTATAATACCTTTTTATTAGTTAATATTAGAATCAAATCTATTATATAATTATAATTAATAAAACAGAAATAAAACCACAATTTATGAGAAGTTTTTTCTTTTGTGTAACTATAAAAACTCAGTGAGAGTTGTTTTTACTTTAACTTAACAGAGAACTTATGGAGACCACTGACTTTATTGTGATATTTACGCTTAACATAATCTGTCTCTTATGAGCTGGATGATGAACTCTGCATTGTTAGACAGAATTGTTAAACTCTAACTTTTTATATAAAATAAGAAAACAGTTTTTTTCTTTAGTCACACGTCAAAGACGTCAAAGGAATTTTCCGTTGCCTTTTCTAATACGCTGTAGTTAGGTTAGGTTAGGTAGTTATGTCTTTTCTATGAAAACTAGTGAAAAGTTTTGTTGTGTACACACAAGTAAAAAGATCTTCACAACTTTAGCTTGACAAAATTTTAACTGATTCTTAAAACCAATTTTTTTAAACTCGAATTCATCATAGTGTGTTGGTGTTAGATTTAACCCTTACTATGTAATTAAAAGATTCAAGTCAATAATTTTCTTGACTCACCACCTGGCAAACTTACAATTCGTTGGTTCTATGTGGAGAGCCGTTCTCAAAATATACCCATATTTAAAAAAAATGGCATCTTGATAATATTCTAATTTTACTCTTATGTTATTCTAAATAATTTGTGTATTTTTAAAATGTAACACACAGGTTGATATTTTAGATGTGTACTTATGAAAACTGGCCAAAGTCAGTCAAATGTGCGATGTGCGGATCTAGCAACGGCAGCCAACGATCCCAAGCCGCCAGTCTTATAATGCCTTCTCCGGATCGAATTCCAGAATCTGATATCAATCAGGATGATAGATACAAAGATTATATTTTAGGTAGGTGGATTAATGCTTTTTACAACACCTGCAATCTGGATAATACCACTTAATGTAATGTAAATCACTTTATATTTGCATCGCCAAATTATTTAAAAAATAAACATATTCAAGTACATAAGAGAATGGCACAAGAGTGATTACTTTTCCTATTTTTATCAACTTTGTTAATGTAGAACTCCGTTTGCTTTTTACCTTTTTCGATCAGGTTATATGTAGATTATTTTTTAAATCATACGTTACGTAACGGTAAAATTGCAATTAATCTTTACAATCCAATTTGTAAATGAGGTGTATTTTATTTATCATCATAAATCATACAAATTTCATTGTAGATTGTGTTTATATTTACTTTAGTAGAAATTTCTGAAATCAGTGCCATTAGAATCCGTTTACTGCGAACGATAATCGTTTTTTCTTGACTATAACTTCGTGCTGCGTCATAGGGATACTTTTTGTAGATACTAGCCAGGGTCAAAACAATCACGAAAATGAACGTAAGATGCGACGTCTCAAGCGAAACGCGGATTGGAATTGGTTAAATGCCTGTATAGGTGTAATTGAAGGCGATCCGAATCCTGTCGAAGCTTACCTTTCTTCAGGCGGAGATCCTGCGCGTACCCTTACAGCCTCAGAGGTGGCTATTTTGAATAGAAGTTCCGCTTTCGATGTTGGCCACACCTTAGTACATTTAGCTATAAGGTAAGTTTTACCACGCAAATGGAAAACGATCCCATAAATTAAATTACAAAGAAAACATAAAATAAACCGATCGAGAAGCTACAGGATGATCGATATATCTTGTATTATAAATTTTATTAATTCTGCAGAACAACTATATATGTTTTAATTTTGATGAAAAAAGTTTGAATAAACAGTTTTGGTACTCCATTCATTTTTTTGGGCATCAAATCGGAGAATTTCAGGTAAGTGGTTGTAACTTTTGACACAAACTAATGTAACATCAGGCTACGCATATCAAACAACGGTGAATGCATACTTAATGACATGCATTGTTGTCAAATCTCACCTTTCTCATCAAAATCGATCGAAAATTACATTGAAATTAGTTACAATTGAAATGTTTGCAGTTTCTTCTTTTTTTTCAACTTAAACGAACCTTGGTTTCAGATTTCAAAGAGAGGATTTATTAGCAGTGTTATTATCGCAAATAGAGGGCTCCGGATCGGGTGTGAAACGCGTCCCGAGTTACGTAGCTCCCGACATAGCGGCCGACATCAGACGCCACTTCTCTTCTACGATTCGTCAGAGGAAAGGCAATTTTCCTTGTAATTTCGTCACGGAATTCCCCACGTTTACCTTACCAGCAGGTAAATTAACGTTTCAGAGTTCTCAACGATCGTATACTATTTGCGTTTTCTGCCGTAGAAGTCGATGAATTACCCGCCCCCGTGCAAGATCAGCTCTTCGCTGAACTACTGGACAAAGACGCTCAGGAGCAATTAGAGAATGACCCTGCCGTGATCAATTGGTCTTTAGATATTACCGTCCGTCTCGGGTCTAGGCTTTACGCTCTCTGGAACAGATCTGCAGGAGATTGCCTGTTGGATTCTGTCATGCAAGCCACGTGGGGGGTGTTCGACAGGGACAACATGCTCAGGAGGGCCTTAGCGGAGAGTCTCGGACAGGGAGGTCATATGTGAGTTGTGCTTTTATCTACACGTTTCTTGTTAATTAGATGGTATTAATGTACTACTTCAACGATACAAAGTAACTTCTTTCAATAGAGACTATTTTAAAAAGTGTTTGAAATCAGACTGTTTTTTAAAGGTTGGGTGTGCAAATACAACACCGAAAGGCAGGCAAACATATTCCGTTCTTGAAAGGCCCTTATAAAAATTGGGCTGTCAGCCTCCAGAATGATCTTTCATCAAATTTCGACTATTAATCTAATAATGTGTTAAATTTCAAAATTGTTGGCAAGGTCATACTTAATAGTTTTAGTTGAATATGTCTGTTAAATTCCATTACTCTTATGTCCACTATTTTTTGTGAAAAATTAGTTTGACCTCCAATTGACCTACAAAGGACATCCTAGAAAAGTTTTTTGATCCCAAATTCTGACATAAAATTTGGTGCTGTATAGGTTGCTGGCATAAAAAGTAGCTTATTCCAAGTTGACCTTAATTTGACCTTGCAACTTGTAGTCAAATCCAAGGTCACCTCGCAATTTTATTTAAAATCTCATGAATTCTATTTAAAACATTTTCCTGCATAATTGACTTGACTTTGACTTTGGTTTGACCTTGAATCTTAAGGTTGTGGGTCAAATCCAAGGTCATCAGCATATTGGTTACTTGATATCCTACAACTTTTGTTTGAAACATTTTCCTGATCCTGAGAAGTTATCGGGGGGTTTGAGTGTTTTTGGAATACTAAGAGACTACTTTTTCTGATTTCCTCTTTTTTTTAATTTTTATAAATTATTTTTTAACGTCCAATTTTTTCCTGAAATTGCTGAAATTTTGAACATCTAGTCTTGAGTGTGGTGTATAACCAAATATCTAGTTAAACCATTGCTGCCAATGTGAACGTGAACAATGAAACGTGGCTGATATTTGCTTGTTGAAGTACTATTTGTCAGAAAATCTTTAATATCAAAGAAAATGTGTTAGAATCCAAAAATCACACTGCATCACTGACGGTTACTGGTATGTACACCTTCAGAAAAGTTCAAGGACCAGAACTATGAAACACTTGCCAATAATTCGACTCTGACTATTTTCGAAGTGTTCAAGTTCATGAGCACAAAACTTATTTGTACCGTACCTTACAATTTACAATATCATTCATAAGAAATCTGCTTATTTCTGATATGTTTGACAGGGCAATTTCCATAATTCAATTCTACGTATTGTTATATAAAACAAATATCAATTATTTTGTGTTTCACTATAATTTCTCAAGATAATATTGAAGTAGGGTTGAAGATTCTTTTATTAGAAACGTCATTATAATTATAAACTTTTGTTATATTTGCATTGACAATTCTGTCATGTCTTTTTATGTTGTTAAGTAAGGACAGCCAACAACAGCCGATAATAGCGACTAGACTACGAATGGTAAGCTGCAATTGTATGTGTATAAGAATCAATTGTGTATTTCTCTTTGTGGTTGCTAGAGAAATAATACTAATGTGCAAACTTCCATAATTTTGTACTTCATGCAAAAAAAAACATAGGAAAAGGTGCAGGAACAGTTGCAGTTTTGTAGACGTTTTGCAGGTTGGTTTTTACTGACTAAATTCTAAATTCAGTCGATGATGACTACATTTTGTAGTCTCTAGTGAAATAAAATAATTATAATTTAAATAGTATTCTTACTATTTATATTAGAATGAAAAATTGCATTGTGCAACTCGATTCCGCTACCAAAACTAACTCAGCGGGACTCATTTCCTTTGTGAGATATCGTTCAATTTATATTTGCTACTGTAACTGTAGAACAAGCAGTAGAAGCGACGGCGTCAGCAGCAACCGTAAAATAGCATTGTTGCAATTTTGATTTTCCATAGAAGAGAATTTTCAACGCTTCAAAGTGTTGACGTCTGTACCACAATCTGTTAAGAAAGTAGCTGTTCATTTGGGAAATGAATGACTGCTATATATGTTTCTTGATTTTCTGGTTTCAGGAATCTGCCAATATTATTTGTAGGTATTTTTTCCAAAAATGTTAACGCCTTTACGTTGAAAGGTACATTTTCCTTGTCAGTAGCTGAGAAACAGTCGATTTGTTGTTTTGTGCAGATGCAGACACAAACTTGGGTATTTTCGATACAACTCTATTGAGCTTAAGCCAAAACTATCACTCAAAATCGTGAAAGACCGCTCTTTGTGAGTTTTTGTGGACCTAAATATCTCACTGGCTTATAATGGCTTGTTTCACTTGCAATATAATGTACTATTTGTTTATTGAGGAGGCACCGTGTTTTTTCAGTTTCTATCCTCGGTGGAAGGAATATGAATCTAGTCACGCCTCTTTCCTGCAGTATTCCTTGGAGGAGGGCCAGTGGGAGGAGGACTGGACAAGTCTGATCTCCCTGGCCAGCCAACCGGGTACGAGTCTGGAACAGTTGCATGTATTCGCCCTCGCGCATATCCTGAGGCGTCCTATTATCGTGTACGGCGTGAAATATGTCAAAAGTTTCAGGGGAGAAGCCATTGGATATGCCAGGTTTGAGGGTAAGCATTTTGTATTCAGTATTCTATGCAGTATATGTTAAAATTAAATATTTTCGAGGTAGAAAGTGTATTTGTATCTTTATAGTGCTTTTTCAGCTAATTAAAAAAAAAATCAGTATGTATGAATAATTTTAGGATAATTTTTATTTAAATTAGCATTCTTTAAATGGAGTGAAAAAAATGTTTAAAACGTTCAAAGTTGGAAAAACTATTAAATAGAAAAAAATAACCTCTCTCTATAAAATTTGACGCTTTGTTGCAAATATATACCAAACTTGCTAATTTCGTACATATTTTTCAGGATATTTCTCTTAAGTGTCCATTTATTCATTGTATAAAATATTTACAAGTTTCAAGCATTTGAAAATAAAAATGTGCAACATTAAAAAAAAAGATTAAAACTGGTATTTTTGACCCACATAATCCTTAGAACTGGAGGAAAAATCTGCAAATTGGCTTCCTTTGCTCGGGTATATGCGAGTAGGCGATGAATAATATAAAAAATGCGCCTAATTTTTACACCATTTTCGACACAATGACAGTTCGGAATTAATTTCTCTAAAACAAATGTTGCTCAATAAATAATTTAGAAGAAAAATTTCCAAATTTTTTTAGTTATTTTGAAAGGCTGTAACTTCGTGCATAATGGTCGTATCTAGAAAAAAAAAGGATCATCTTAAAGCTTGAAAATTCTAGTTTTGAAATCTTTGAGATGAAAATTTTTTTTTAACGTCAGTCTTGGTGCAATCAAAAGAAATAATGCAAAGCAAAAATTTTACAATTTTTTTCTGATTCATCAGCTTCAATGTGTTTTTTTTTATTTTCTGTATGATTGTTTCTCATTGAGACATCGTCTGTTATCGCCTTTTTTTTGTTTTGATCATCGATTTCTCATGAACTGATGATCCTACAGCCAATGGAAGGTGGGTTTTAGAAACCTGAATCAATCCTCTTCAAGGGCATTTTTTTATGATTGACAAATAAAAAAAATTATATTCAGCATTAATTTGAAAAAGTGCAAAAAATCACTTTTTCTGCTATTTTGGAAAATCAACGACTACTTTGTAAATATTGCGAAAAGTACCAATGTTTGTAGGTTTGTAGGTTTTTTTTAGCCCAATACATGCCCATGAGGCCTGTAAATTCTGATACGATCGATCGATATATTTTCCTTTCCCGAATCGTCAGTTTTACAAAAAATTAAAGGAGTAGGTTTATTGCTTCTTAAACATCAATTAATTAATGATTAAGATAAACAAATTTTTGCTGCCTTATTTTTCTCACAATTTTGCCTTAAATACTCACTAACTATCAGAAAAAACAATATTAGTTTAAAAAAAAATCAAATTTTTCATTAAATTTCATAAAAAAAAAAAATTTGCTCAACATTCAAAATATTCAATATAAAATTGTAAAAAAGAGTGCAAACAATTTTTAAAAAATTTTGAAAAATTTGATTTTTTCCAAAATTGAATTTTTTTTAAAATATTTGACGAGTATTTAACCCAAAACTATGAGAAAAATAATGCGTTAATTGATGTTTAAGGAGCTCCTTTAATTTTTTATAAAACTGACGATTCAGGAAAGGAAAACGGTTCGACCGATCAATTTTAAAGTTTACAAGCCTCATGGGCATGTATCGAGTTAGTTGTTCTAATATCGCTCTTGAAAAAGATAAAAGAAAATTGCCACAATAGGAAGATCTAACCATTTTTACATTTTATGGATATTAGATATACGTATAGAATTGACAATATGACTAGATTAACGTTTTTCCTTTACCTAATTATTCCTTTTTGTATTTGTCGAGGAGGCCCCTTGAAAAAAAATTCAATCCTAATTAAAATGCAGAAATGGTAAGATTTTACTATTTTGGTTATTTTTACATGTTGCACTCCCAAATTATTATTTTTTTTTGTAATATACTAATGCAAACAATTAAAGGGTCAAAAGAATTTCCGAAATTTTTCCGTGATTTTTGACAGACTGTATTTAGGTGAAAAATGGTCGTATCGGGAATTAAAAAAAAGCATTTTGAAGCTCCAAGATTCTAGTTTTTATATCTTTTTTAGGAACTATGATTATCATGAAATTCTAAGAAATAGCGCGACAAAAAATTTTTGCAAATTACCATGGACTTGGAAAAATTTTTTCAGCTAAGCCTTTGCATGGACCAGATAGCTTGTTTATTCAGCTTCAATTTCCATTTTTTTAAATTTCAATATGACCACTTTTCATCGAAATATCAGACTTTTAATGGAAAAGGATCCTTTTGTCTTCATTCATCGATATCTCGGAGACAAATGGTCGTACAGAGAACTGAAGGGTGGTTTCGAAAACTGGTATAGATTTCCTATAACATGCTGCCGCAACTTTTCAGAAAAAAAATGTTTTTTCATCTCTTACACGAATTTTAAAAAATTGGAAAAAAGGGTTATTTATGGATTTTTAGAAAATTGACGGCTAAATTAGAAATATTCACGAAATGACTAACGTTAAGCATGACTTTTACAATTCGATATACCCAGACGAACCCTGTGAAGTTTCATCTTGATCTAGCGAACCATTTTTTTGTTTCAAACAGTCAAACTTTTGAAAAAAATTAAAGGGTCACGTTTTTTGAGCTTAAACACTTCACAATCATGATTAAAATGGAAAAAAAAATTTTTTTTTGCGGTTTTCTCACATTTTTACCACAAATAACGTTTAAATTAATGAAAAAAAAATAAATAATAAATAAATTTTTTTCAGAAGAGAAAAAGGGTAGTTTTGAAAAAAACTGTTTTTTAAGTGATTACAGACTGTACAAAAATTAATTAGAAAGGACCCCTCACAAATCAAACGGAAATTGGCTTTCGGTGAAATCGGCCAAATTTTGGATATGTTGTTCCTTTCGGTGTCCAGATCAAAAGTCTCCACGGGCACGAAGCTCGAAAATCTTCGCTGTGAGCAGTACCCAGCTTGGAAGGTTAGAGACTGATAATCCCCGATTTTCGCTGATATCGCTCTACCCTTGCATTTTCGGGATATATATGAAGATATATATCAGAGTTCATAGTTCAAAGGTAATAAAGAATTCCCTGACTTCTCCAGGTTTTCCCTGACTTATAAAAAAAAATCCAGGTCACTTGTAGTTCATTTTTACATACCAATTGGTGTTTATGCATTAAATTCAAATTCAATATCATCAAATGTTTTCTTGACTGGACTCCATACTTTTTTATACCCTAACAACCTCTTATAAAGGTTTCAAAACCACAAATAGTTTTATCTTTCAAGAACCCAGGGCCGGCTTTCACAAAATTTCTAGTTGCATACATCAAATTCCCTGACTTTAATGAATTTTTAAAATTCCCTGACTATTCCCTGTTTTTTATGAAAAATAACAAATTCCCTGACTTTTCCCGGTTTTCCCAGCCGCTACGAAGCCTGTATATCCCGAAAATGCAAGGGTAGAGGTAGAATCAGTAAAAATCGGGGATTACCGGTCTCTAACCTTCCAAGCTGAGTACTGCTCGCAGGGAAGATTTTCGAGTTTCGTGCCCATGGAGACTTTTGATCTGGACACCGAAAGGAACAACATATCCAAAATTCGGCCGATTTCACCGAAAGCCAATTTCCGTTTGATTTGTGAGGGGTCCTTTATCTCAAAAATACCGAATCGAGGTCGATATCTGGTTTGGGTCATCTTTAATTTTGATTTAATTAAAAGTTGATTAACAGAAACATAGGACAAAAAAGCCGAATTGTGCTGGAAACAATTGGATTTTGTTTTCTTCAATGTCCGAAAGTTTTTTCAAAAAAACAAAGAAAAAATTCATAATTTAATTTTTTTTCATCAATTTAAACGTTATTTAAAACATACGAGAAAACCTCAAAAAATTTTTTTCCATTTTAATCTTGATTATGAAGTGTTTAAGCTCAAAAAACGTGACCCTTTAATTTTTTCAAAAGTTTGACTAGATGAAACAAAGAAACGGTTCGCTAGATCTAAATAACAGGTATACCAGATATGACAGGTACCTATGGCAGATAACTTCACAGGCTTCTTCTGGGTATATCGAACTGTAAAAGTCACGCTTAACATTAGTCATTTCGTGAATATTTCTAATTTAGCCGTCAATTTTCTAAAAATTGATAAATTACCCTTTTTTTCCTGTTCTTTAAAATTCGTGTAAAAGATGAAAAAAAATTTTCTCCGAAAAGTTGCTGCAGCATGTTATTCTCTGTACGACCACTTGTCGCCGAGATATCGATGATTGAAGGCAAAAGGATCCTTTTCCATTAAAAGTCCGATAGTTCGATAAAAAATGGTCGTATTGAAATTTAAAAAAAAGGAAATTAAAGTTGAATAAACAAGTTATCTGGTCATACAATGGCGTAGCTGAACAAATTCTTTCCAAGTCCGTGAAAAATTTGCAAAAATTTTTTGTCACGCTATTTCTTAGAATTGCACGATAATCGTAGCTCCTAAAAAATTTCAGCCAAAAGATCTAAAAAATAGTCTTCAAAATGCTTTTTTTTCACCTAAATACAGTTTGTGAAAAATCATCGAATAATTGCGGAAATTCTTTTGACCCTTTAATTGTTTGTATTAGTGCATCATTTTTGATTTTTTATTTTGGATAATTAATTATTACTAGCCGTTTAACTACATGTTACTGGTTTAATGGAAAAATTCCTTAGGTGTATACTTGCCTCTACTGTGGGATCAGAGTTTCTGCATACGCACTCCAATAGCTCTGGGCTATACAAGAGGGCATTTTTCCGCGCTCGTTCCCATCGAACCTTACAGCAGAATAGATTCCAGGCCACCCGTACAACACGGCAACAACATGAGCCCCGATCACCTGCGAAGCACCTTCCTGCCGCTAATGGATAGGGACAGGAAGCTGTTGCCGATTCATTTCTTGATGGAATCGGAGGTAATCTCTGTCGTTGAAAATATCCGGTTGATTTTTATAAACTCGTTTTGTAGTTGGGACGAGAAGAAACGATCCTGAGGCAGTGGCTGGATGTGTGCGAGACGGAGGGAGGCATCTTAGTTGCTCAACAACTGCTGCATAAAAGACCTTTATTAGTTGCTCAAATGGTCGAGGAGTGGCTGAATCACTACCGGCGTTTGTCGTGAGTATTATTTTTTTTTTTGTTACTATGGCACTCTTAAAAACTCGATATATTTTAAGGGACTTACATAACCTCAACGTTATTTTTTAATTAATATTTTAACTTTTTAACACTTATGCGTTTTTTTTTTTCAAATTTAGTATACGTCGAATTAAACAACTTAAAGATTATATAAAAATGTATTGTCCATGGCCTCTGTATGTCTATTTGTGTTTACAAACTTGGAAATTATTTTTTAAAGATAACTTTTATTAAAAAACAAACAAGAAATTTAAAACAAAATTAAAGAAATACGCTCAACAGAAAAACAAACGTATTGCGAACTGTTGAAGTCGAGAAGGAATGACACATCCTTTACTCACGGAAGTATTCAATGTTGCCAGCCTCCTTCGGCAATACGTAAGTGAGCTTGTCGGATCCAAGAATCACACGTATTTACGAAAATATCCTGCCGTTCATATTTTAATTTGATGCAATTACTGTTCAACATAATTGTCATCTACAGAGTGTCCTAAAAAAAATCGAAACCTGGGATAGCTTTTCAGTGTTGAGTCGTATCAAAAAAACGTCAGATAAAAGTCGTGGGATATCAGGAAACCAATATCCTGGTGACCTTGGATTTGACCTTGACCTCGAGTTTCAAGGTCAAACCAAAGTCGAATTGAAAATATTAAATGGAACAGCCTATTTTTACGCCAGCAATTGAAGGAGCATCAAATTTTATTTCCAAACGTGCGGTCAGAACATTTTCCTTGTACGTCATTGTAGGTCTGGAGGTTAAACTGATTTTTCTCTGAATAGCGCCACAAACATGTTTCAAGCAAAATTTGTAGGATTTTGAACGACGAATTATGTGGCGACCTTGGATTTCAACACGACAATTGGCAAGGTCAAATTGAGGTCAATTTAATATCAAATGGAGTATGCTATTTTTTATGTCAGCAACCGATACAGTGCTGACTTGTATCGGAATCTGGAATCAATGAATCTTTATACAATGCCCTTGCAGCTCATTTGAAGGTTAAACTAGCATTTCACAAAAAATTATTGTAATATATCGTAAATAATTAAAATTTGTAGAAAAGTGATCCCGCAAGGACATACCGAAAAAATTTTAGATATTCGGACTTAAAATTTTACTGGCATTTGACCTTGGTTTGACCTTGGAATTTAAGGTCAAGGTCAAATATTGGTTCCTGGATATCCCGCAACTATTGTTTGAATTTTTTTTGATGTCTCAATCTCGAAAAGTTATAGGGGGTTCAGGACTTTTTGGACATCATAATTTTTTTAAGTAATCCCCAGAAATGAAAGAAAAGGATTTATATCAAAAGAATGAGAATGTTATGAAACTAGACCATGACTTAATAAATTTAGTATTTAATTATTCCATTACAGAACTGATAGTTAATCGCCATTATGCCGGGGCCACATTTACGTCTAATGCCATTAATTATTGCACTATCTTGCATTAAACGTAGGTGTAACCACGACTAAGCCGTTAATTTATCATCGTCATTATTAATGGCATTAGACGTTAGGCAATAACACGAGTGGCGGACTTTTTTGACACATCAAAGCGATTTGCGTGTCGTTTATCGCATTACACTAGCATTGTCTATTGCAACACATTAGAGCTTCGAGCGTGGTTCAATATGGTTGCATAAAAATGGAGTGGTCCAACGAAAAAATAATAGAGTTTTTAGAATTGTTTCAAACGGATTCTAGACAAAAAGCATAAAATAATAATTGACGCTCATATAATACAACCGTAAAGCGGGCCCAATCTCCATGATGAAATTATTTTATCAAATAACACGTTATTTGTTGAGTAAACATCAGACACAAGTGTAGCTATTCATATTACTGCTTAATTTAATTTATTATTTTTAATGCAATAATCATCGCGATAATGGACGTTACACATTAACGTAAGTGTGGCCCTAGCATTACTGGAATTGATTTTTGGGAAAGCTTGGAAAGATTTGATTTTAACAGACAAATGATTTATGTCAATAACGAATACAAATATTGAACATATCTTGTTTTCCATGGCAACGCTGGTAACATCAGCAACAGACTTGATTGAACTAGTGTTTTTCTCTGTACATATAGGGTGATTCAGAACTTATCCAAAAAAAAAATTGTACAGGGGTCTCTTACAAATACAATTTTGTAAAGAAAAAATCAAAAAAGGTAGTTCGAAAATGATTTAAAAATACACTTGTGTATGGTACTGGAAACTGGTCCACTGTAAAACCTGATCATGCACAATGCGACCGGCATGGCGGCAAAGTGTGATAAAAACGGACAAAAACTTGAAAGAATTTCACAAGGAAAGAAATAAATAGAATTTTGTAGCACCTATTTTATATCAGCAAATTTAACTGCTTTTGCCGCTATTGTTATTATTAATTAATAAAATTTATTTGTGGTTTTAAAACTTTTAAATAATAAAATAATTTGACATAACTGATGTTACAACAACTGTTCAAAATGTTGTCCACTAACGTGTCCACTGACATTTGGGTACGTTTTATTCAGTTTCTAGGAACTAATAAAAATGTTGTCTTACTTCACCATAACAAAAATGCTTCACCATAAATTTAAACGATATCCATCTATTCCGCGTTGCTATACACGCAAGCCATATTTGACACTAACTACTAAAAAACTATTGTAAACACTATCACAAAGACGATTGTAAAATCGGATTTCAGTATTTGGAGTCGTTAAGGCCACGTGGTTCTCTATGCGTATTACGAATGACACTAGACATTTCAGTTGTCCAGTTATATGATGGTTGAAAGTACCACAATTCAATAATTTTTTCTTCGGAAACTATAAGGATTTTAAAATTTTTTTTTTACAATATTGACTCCATATCTCATGCCGCATTTATTCCCACATTTTTTTGGATAAGTTGTGAATCACCCTGTATAAAGAGTGACCGCAAAAAAAGCCATTTTTCCGCCTGTTTTTGAGACTATGACAGAGACGACAGGGAAAATCCTAAAAATATTCTAAAAATATCCAAATACTTGTCATGAAAAATGAAAATGGGCATCACTTTCAATTTTTAGAAAATCACCCTTATTTAGGGGTTGAAAAGACAAAAAAGTGAACAAATTAAGAATCATCAACAGTTGTAAAACCCTAAATATTTCTATGTTGTTATCAAAATAATATTATGAATGTGAAAATATGTAATTTCGTATTTGATACGGTCTTGTCCGGATTGAAAATCAACCCTTAATATCCCTAAAGGGGTGAAATCATCCCCTAAACGCTTACAAATGCAAAAAATATATTAAAAGTTACAATTTTTTTCTTTTTATACGTATATGGTTGAACTTAGGGGTAGTTTTAACCTCGTTTAGGGGTATTTTCCTTCGGATCTAGTGATTGTGGGTTATTAACGGTTCAATTATCACGTATAAAAGAAAAAGAAAAAAAATTGTAATTTTTAATATATTTTTTTGCATTTTTAGGCATTTAGGAGATGATTTCACCCCTTTAGGGATATTAAGGGTTGATTTTCAATCCAGACAAGACCGTATCAAATACGAAATTAGACATTTTCACGTTCATAATATTATTTTGATAACAGCATAGAAATATTTGGGGTTTACAACTGTTGATGATTCTTAATTTGTTCACTTTTTTTGTCTTTTCAACCCCTAAATAAGGGTGATTTTCGAAAATTTTCGAAAAACTGAAAGTGATGCTCATTTTCACTTTTCATGACGAGTTTTTGGATATTTTTAGAATATTTTTAGGATTTTTCGTGTCACCACTGTCAAAGTCTCAAAAACAGGCGGTCACTCTTTATATCCATTAAACGGGAAGAAATATTGAAAAACTTTCCTAGTTATAGTTGTAGAGGAAAATGAAAACTTTCATATGATGTGAAAAATATGTGTGAAACTGAAAAGAATAATTTGAATGATGTCTCAGTCTATTCTAAAGTTGTAGGGGAGCACATGAAATGGATACAATACGATCTGATAATACATAAAACTTGTTATACCCTCCGTCACATTCTCGATGGGGTTGTAATTAGCCAGTATCTTGTGCTCTTTGAATAACTCAGTTGCAGCATTTTGCCTACATTCACCGTATATCAATAGCAAGTCTACCAATTTGTGATTACTGAATTACATGCCATTCCAATAAATACTAACTACTAACAACAAAATAACACTCGATTATTACTATTTTATCCATAAAAAATTAATACCAAAACAAAATAGACGTTTAGATGCAAATAAACAGCCGATTTTACCGATTCAATGGTACTTGAACAACAGTGTGCATTATAAAAATATATTTTTTTACTGCCATTTTACTAAGGCGTATTTTTAGCAATCGACTTCTGTCATCAAGACCTATCCCCAATTAACGATAAATCTCCAAGTTCGTAAACACCCCGTAAGCTGTCGTTTAGTGGTACGCCGACAATGTTCTTTGAATTTCTAGACAAATGACATCGGCACCATTTGTCAGGCCAATTCCGATACAGGATTATTCTAGCGAGGGGGACACGGACGACGAATAACGCAGGCTTAAGTTCGTGGTTGATTAGCACGAAACAACTAGTGATGCTTTAGTACCTAATGTAATAAATTTGTCTCGAGATGGTGAATAATAGATTTAAAATTATATAGTGTATATAGGGTCTTTAGCAGCTGGAAAAAGATGTTGCACTTAAAGCATGGGTTTTCGATTATAATTTTCGGGCTGATCTACACTTAATTTCGGAGTGCATTATTCTTCCTCTTGCCTATGCAGATGTTGTATAGTTTTTTTTTTGTGGGTAGGATATATTTATTTTTATAGGTAGCTAAAGTACAAAATAAAAGGTTTAAATTATTAATGTAATATTTCATCGTATTTATTTTTACAATCGAACGAATTAAGAGCAGGTGGATGTACGAGTGACAAAAAGTAACGCTTCGAGTACGTTAACACTAAACCTTAAAATTTAATTATTCCCGTCGGAATTCGCCGTCTAGCTGCTTTTAATTTGCGACTCTGTTATGCTTTAAATATATAATTTAACCGAATTGTGAGTTATTTATTATTTTGTTGGGATGTTTTTCGTTTTGTAGTTGTTCTGTGCTGTAAGATATCGTCTAAAGATGTAGTTATCGAAACCTTGTAATTCATATTTTAAAATGAGGTCAATTTATTATAAATTGTTTTTACAACTGTGTATTTAAAAATAGATTTTCCAAATAGAAATTTGAATTATTAATATTATGAGATTTATTAAACTTACTATATCGCATTGTTAACACTGTTAAAAGATATAATTATAGAGAATAAATATTTAAAAAAACTCTTTCGAGGTTATTAATAAAAATGTATTCTCTACGCTTATTTTTATTCACACAAATGATTTTTTATTCGCACCTACTCCTTCCTTCCAGTTAAGCATCGAAGACTAAAACCGAGTGGCCTTTTCCGGAAGATACAGTATGTTCCAATTTATAGGCGTCACTAACACTGAGTAAAAAAGAAAGTTAAAAAATTCCCTCTTTGGACACTATTAAATAGTAATTAAAAATGCTTTTTACTATTTTAATTTTTGCTTGAAATTTTCAAACAAAATTAAAAGCCGTGATGGCTTTTAGCGTCTTAAAATGTTAACTGTCCATATTAAAGTATAAATTGAACCTAATGTAATAAACCGTAAATTTTAATATTGTTCCTAGTGTTGCCAACGATAAAAAAAAGGTGTGAAAGCTGACGGTTCAGAGCAGCAATTTTTATATAATGGTGATGTTTTATTTAGGTTATATCTTACCCACACTGAAAATATGTCGATAGATATACAGGGTGTTTGGAAAAGTTGGTACACAACTTAAGGAGATGAAAGTAGACCCAAAAATGGTAAAAAAGTTCCTATATGGCCCTCCAAAGGGGTTTTATCATTTGGATATTTTTTAAACCAACTTTCTGATTAAAATAAAGGAAAGAAAATTGTAGGTAATAATCATACCATAACCATCAACTATCATATCATAAGTTCATCAAAATCAGGATAAATGAGGATAGTTTTTCAACCATCCTTAACAGAAATTTTTCGAGTTTTGGTAATTATTTACTTTAGTGGCACCACCTCCAATTTTCACGAAATTTTGTCTGCCCCACTATTTTCGATGGTGCTGAACACGAATCTGCAGTTTTTTTTCTGCGGTCGAACCTAGTTTTCGAGACAAAAATTTTTCAAAATTCTAACCTGGATATTTCATATAACAGTACGTAGAACTCTGTATATTTTATGTAGCTTTCCAGAACATCTGTTATGAACAATTAACACTGTTCATGAAACACATTTTCGTAAATTTCAAGTAAAAAGATATGTATTTAATAAATAAAAATTTTGTAGTTTGAATCCGCCATTTGTAATTCGTGATGACAACATTGAGTTCCCCCACTCTCATTCAACTCTGTTCATCCCACATAAAGTCACTACTATTTTATTTATTAAATACATATTTTTTTAGTTCAAATTTGGGAAAATGTGTTTCTTAAACAATGTTCATTGTTTATTACAGATGTTCTGAAAGCTACATAAAATATACAGAGTTCTACGTAGTGTTATCTGAAATATTCAGGTTAGAATTTTGAAAAATTTTTTTCTCAAAAACTGGGTTCGACCGCACAAAAAAAACTTCAGATTCGTGTTCAGCACCATCGAAAATAGGGGGGTAGACAAAATTTTGTGAAAATTGGAGATGGTGCCACTAAAGTAAATAATTACCCGAGTTTTTTTATTGCTTTGAATTATTAAGCTGTAGGAGCCGGTAGGATTGGTTATTTTTTTCAAATGAAGTAGAATGAAACTGTTTATTACTACTTCTTGTTCTTCTTTTTTGTCCTTCACCCAAGGGGTATTTAGCCAGCTTTTTATGTACTAGTTTTTTATTCAAGGGAATTTACTTCACTTTAAAGTTGTTTTTCTTAAAAAAACAAAACATAACTTCGCTTCGCTTCTTTTGACATAATATCACCACAGCAAATAAAACAATTGTTTTATATGCTGTGATATCACACTGTTCAACATAATAATCGTAAAGTAACTAGTAACGCCAACTGTTGGGCGCGAGATTCAAATAATACAACTATACAGGGTCGGAAAATCCCCATGGTTCATCGGCCGTTACGTGAGAGCGATAAAGTAAGTCATAGAAATCCGTGCGATAGAGAAAGATGGCTATAATGAAAGCGTCTAATAGTCACCACCCATCTCGCCCAAATAAGAAGTGGATCTTATTTGTGGAAGGGTGAAATGGACGGTGACTATTAGACGCCTTCATTATAGCCATTTTTCTCTATCGCACGGATTTGTATAGCTTTCTTTATCACTCTCACGTAACGGCCCATGAACCATGGGGACTTTCCGACCCTGTATACTACAAAGCAAATATTTTTTTATTGATGAATTAGATTTTTTTGAAGAAAAAATTTCTCTACTTTTTTTTTTAATTCTGCGTAGTTTAGTCAAAGAATTATTTTTTAAATAATGTATGGCTCAGAACTGACATTTTTTAAAATATTTTTACATAGTAGGCATCTTTCATGGTGACAGTATGAAATGTCGCTTGTCAGAATAGTCTGGTGGCTCTAGATTCTGGTTGCTCTACTCATATGAGTGATATTTAGTTACTCATATGCTCTAGGAGAGTATCGGCAGTCGGCACAGCTCATTTGTTAGGTAAGTTGTGGTGTCGATAACGTTTCCCTGATAGAAGGCAACCTTCTACAAGATTTGTTTGGGAAAAATTTATGCAAGAGCTATAGAATCAGAGGCCTTAATTCCAAGATATTGTGAATGTGACCGTCCAAGGAGGCGTAGGCATGATTTAGAATATTTAGACCAAGTAATTTTAAGATATTTTAAACGTAATCCTACTCGCTATAGAACAAACAATACTTATGTATGGAAACAATCAAAATTATATCATGTTGTCGGCACCTTTGATCACTGATGTCTTTTGTCAGTGACCTTGAATGACGTAAATCCCCCACTTTTGGTATACATAGTCAGGATTGTATTCAGTGAAATTTTATTGCACGAAACAGAGGGATGTAGGTATACATTATTTAAAAAATAATTATTTCTGACTAAAGAATTCGAACAATAAGTAGGGAAATTTTTTCTTCAAAAAAGTCTAATTCATTAAAAAATATTATTTGTTTGATAATTCAAAGGAATAAAAAAAAAATTCGAAAAATTTCTGTTAAGGGTAGTTAGAAAACTAGATATCCTTATTTATAACCGATTTTGATGAAACTTATGGTAGTTAAAGGCCCTTATGGTATGATTATTACCTACAATTTTCATTCCTTTATTTTAATCAGAAAGAAAGTTATTTTTAAAAAAATATCCAAATGATAAGACCTCTTTGGAGGGCCATATCTCAGTAACGGTGCTCTGGAGGATCAATGTTACAGGAACTCTTTTTACTATTTTTGGATCTACTTTCACGTCTTTAAATTTTGTACCAACTTTTCCAAACACCCTGTATACGCAAATAGCTTAAGGGGTAACACCACAATCATTATTAGAAAATCTATTTTTTTTTATTGATTTGAAATCTAGTGACATGGCTTTATTTTGCATCCCTTGTGTTTTTTTCAGTATTTTTTTTACGATGCGGTGCAATAAAAAAGGGCAAAGACCGGTTTGCGCACAATAAAAGCAAACTAAATTTAATGAGTATTTATTTTACTACAAAATAAAGGATTTTATCTTAACCTACAACAATGCTACTTATAAATATTACGAAAAATATTTTTCTATCCTTTAAAACGTAACCATCGAACATTATAAAGAAGAAAAAATATTTCAAGCATACACAACACATGTTCCCATTTTTAATATAAAAATATTAAGATTTTTCTTCAATTCCTGACTCGCAACGCGTTACGTGCAGTTCTGTAACGTTATGTCCGAGGGAATACCTCTGAGCTCCTTATTCAATGTTCTTAATAGTGGGTGCTGTCCGCAGCCGCATCTGTTCCTGAAATCGTCCAAATCTAACGCCCAGATCATTCCTCCGCCCAGGCCTAACTCTTTGACCAGTCTCGACTGAAATAAAATGATTAGTTATTACAAAAAATACACAAGATCTAACGCAGTGGTATGTTAACAATGAAGGAGTGCACCCTATTTCTCATTCAAAAACAATATTTTCAAGTTTTTAAAGAAAATGTTATATAACCCGATACAATTTCTGAATGTTTTAATCAATTAAACTGATGCCATTTTCAACACATTTTGTAAAGTAATTTATATCAACAGATGTTTTGTCTATTTGCTGTACTTAGTCGCAGCGAAGCTTATTCAGGGTCACCACTGAGGTTGTCTACACCGTCACTGGGCAGCACCCGAATTCGGTTGTATGTGGGTGCTTATCCATGTTGCCTCTTATTACTATTTTTAACCAACTCTGAGTGGTAAAAAGTAAAGCAGCAGCGGAAAATAATTTTATAAAAACATTGCTTTTATACGACTTTGAGACTTGTTATTTTAAGTGTTTTTTTAATTAATATTTTTTGCATGCACAATAAATAACAAAAATACTTATTAAATTAATCTCAAAGATGATGCTAATTTAAAATCATTTCAAATTTTCAATAAAAACCATATAGTAGTTTTTCTAAAGCACTGTGTTTAGTTTGTGAATATCAGGGGCACTGACATCTGACATTGATCTAGTTTAGGTAAATTACATCATATCAATGCAAATGATGACCACCAGAACGCTAGATGGACAAACACAGATGGTCGATAATAATTGCTTGCAACAAGAATGGCCAAATATTTCACCGTTTTATTTTATAACATTTATTTCAATTTTCAATATATCGATTTACAAGAAGATGTAAAGTGTTTTGTGTAATGTGTATAATCTTATAAAGTTATTTATTTTAGTGTTTAGTGACGGTTTGGTGTGTTTGTGTGTCTTCATTTGTTAAATTTATATGCAATATGTATATGAAGCAAGAAAAATGAGGTTTGACAACATTGTATGCGATAGATTCTAATTGGGTATGTATTAAGAGCTAATGCAAAACAAGATTAAAAAAGTATCCATTTTCATGAAGGAATTTGACAAAACAAACTTATGCATTTCTAAAGTTGAAAAATAACCATATAAATACGTCTCCCGTTCAAGTTGCACCTTGTATAGGAAAATACTGCTCAATTTAGGCGAGAAAGAACATCCTTCACTTTTGACATGTCGTTTTGCGTTCTGCACATATAATTAGTAGTAGGAATTAAATTACCTTTCTTTTAATTTCAGAAATGTCGTCATATGACACCCACTGACTGCCCATGTAGGCGTAAGGGCCGATTCTTCCTAAAGGATCTCTCGTAACAGTCCATCCCCTCTTTTTAACCCTCTCGCAAATCTGGAAAAAAAAGGATAAAATGACAAAACATTTTCTATTAATGTAAATAATATCTTACCTCGTAGAACGCCAAGAAACCTCCCGCTCTTGTAAATTCACCAGCTTCGCCGGGGCCATACGATTTTTCGTTCAAGCCTCTCTTTCCTACATCCGCCAAACTGAATGATTGACCGTACAAGGGCATACCCATTATTAACTTCTTTGGCGGTGCCCCTTTTTCTATCCAGTAGTTTATAGAGAAGTTCTGAAATAATTCTATTTATTAATTTACTTTTTTAAGTTCAGCGTTATCAGCTAACGCTACAGAGCGTCTGTATTCAGTGATTTTAAATTGAAAAATTTGGCAAAAAATATGGTCAAAATGTTGCGAAAAAAGAAACATTTTGCAGATTAAAGTTCAATGTTTGTAAAGAAATGTAATATGTACTCTACTGGACTATCCCGTCTTTGAGGAATTTTGTGTAAGTTTGGTTGCCTAACAGTCGCGGTTGCATGGGACTCGCACATTTTTATGAAGGCACATTTATGATGCATTTTAGAAACACCCTGTAAGTCGCAATTACAACTTACTGCATTGAAATAGTCGTACAAATCCCCTGGATAATGGTACAGAGGCGCAACGTGGCCGGTTTGTTTATCCCAATGCCCGTGGAAGTCGTACGTCATAATGGCTATCCAGTCGAAGTATTTGCTCAACACTGGCACGTCATATCCGGCATCGATCACCGCTTTGCTTGGAGACACGGCAGAGGACAGCAGCAAACCTTTCGGCCTGAAAGCGGTGCTCAATTCTCTTACGAGCGCCGCAAAACCTTTCTTATCTGAGTCCGGTCCTTTATTGCAGTCGACCTTGAAAAAAGTGTATAAATTTTGACGTAATGTGTGTGTAAAATGTTATTTACCTGCCAACATTTGGGATATTCCCAGTCAATATCTAAGCCGTCAAAGTCCCACTTCTCGATAAATTGTATGACGTTGGTGATAAATCTTGCTCTGGCCTGCGGGTCGTTCACGAGCCTCGAGTATTTGTTCCCCAAAGAATCGTTCCATCCCCCGATAGCGATTAACACTTTAATTCCTTTGCTCTTGAACTCCGTCACCTTTTTATAGAACTCTGAAATTATCCATCGATATTAATATCCTGAAAAAGTTTGTGTGACGTGTAATTACCGTTGTCGATATCCGCCCAGGAATCATGCGGTTTGATGGTTAGGGCGGTGGAATCTAACACGGCAAAGCCGTAGTTAATGTGCGTGCATAATTCTGGGTCTATGTCCGAAGGGAGGTACTTTCCGTCGCCCTGCCTGTAAAGTTAAATGAAGTATGTACAAAACAAGGTAAATCTATCAGTAATCAACTTACCTGTACCAAGCCCAGTTCGTGAAGTAACAGACAACTTTGTAGTCGTCACCACCTACCTCCACCTCAGTTCCTGGGTAAGACGGCTTACTGGTCGTTTCGATCGGTGGGAGGTAACTTTCCTCGGTGGTTCCCTCTGAAGCCGGTTCGTAAGGTTCGGTGATTTCGTCGATCGGAGCAGTTGTGCTGCCATCCGGATGACACTGGGTATTTTCCGGCCAGTCGCAGTGGTCGTTATTCCAGAATAACCCACTCGGGCAAGACTGTATTTGAAGCTGTCCTTGGTTGCAAAGGTAGTATTGGTTGCAGTTGGTATCGTGGGATACAAACAGCTTTCCGTCACAGGTCTTGGGCGGTGGCTGAGATTGGACAGGATGACTAGGCTTTTGCGTTTGGACGGGTGATGGGGTGGTTGGTTTTTTCGTGGTCGGTTTCAAAGTAGGCTTCTTCATGGGTTTCTGGGGTTTACCCAAAATACACTTTGGTGCCGGTTTAGCGTAGTCCCTCAAAACTCTGTTTATCGTCCTGAGCAAAGGATATTCCTCGCAGCCGCAGATGTTCTTGAAATCGTCGAGATCCAACGCCCAGATCATCCCGCCACCGAGTCCCATAGCTTTGATGTATTCAGATTTGTGCCTGATCATGCCGATGTCGTCGAATGATACCCACTGGTCTCTTAGGTAGGCATATGGTCCCAAGCGTCCTTTACGGTCCCTCACCACTTGCCATCCTTTTTTCATTATGTTGGTACAAATCTAAAAAAATTGTTATTGTTTTTTTATTTTCTATACATATAAATTGCTACTTTTCCTGTGTTCTGTATGTTTGTAACATTGAGTGAAAATTAAGTTTAAAATTTTAGTGTTATAAAAAAGTAGGTCCAGAATTACAGCATCTGCATTCTTTAACCAGAATGTGTAAAATTTAGTTTGAATATATTACAAAATAACAGTGTTGTTAGTAAAAATTTATTTTAAATTTCAACATTGAGCAACTGAATTTTGAAAGAGTCAACTAAGTAAAAAATTATTTACTGTTTAGACCGATCAAAATAATTCATTTAGGGGGGGGAAAAAAAGAAAATTGTTACCTGGACTTTCATAAGTGGAAATGATAAAGGGGCTTATAATAAACGAAAAATAAAATAAATGCGTGAGCAGGGATGGCGGGGGGTTTGATTTGGGGGTTGAAAATTTGTGAAAAATTATATCATTGGGATTTCTGGCAAAAGTTGACGTCAAACCAAAAAGTATCCAATACAAAAGTTGTAAATCATGCAAAAATCTACAACTTTTTTAGTGTTCACTTTTTAAGACAACCTTAAAATTTCCGAGAAAAATGCGAAAAACTTTTTTTTTCTTATTTTTTGTTTTTTATTTCTCATTTCCTCAAAAAATTTTATTTTGACGAAACTTGGTGAAAGTATATCTTTCTGTGGCTTAAAATAACCACAAATTTTTTTAGATAAAAAATCAAGAAGTTTCCGAGATATTCATTTTTTCCAGTCTGAAACACTTTTTTTTTCAAAGAAAAATTCTACTTTGAAAAATCATCGTACAGAGTTCTGCCAGTAATCATTTTTTTCGTTTTGACATATACTTTTTGGTGAAATAAGAAAAACTATAATCACAGATGAAAAACATGTTAAAAAATGCAAAAAAAATTAAAAATGACGCAACAATGAAATTTTCAGTAATTGTTGATAATTTAATTAAAAAAAAATTCAAAAGTCAATCAATTCAATTGTACGAAAGAAATACAAAAAAAACTGTTTCATTGACTCAAAACTTTATTTTTGTACAGTATTGCTATGAACATCTAAGTCAAATTTACAAATGCACAAATGATAAATTATCAAATAATGAGACAGTTTTTTTGTATTTTTTTTAAATTTAAACAAATTATCGACAATTACTGAAAAATTCATTGTTGCAAGTCATTTTTTATTCTTTTTTGCATTTTTTAGCTTTTTTTTTGAACTGTGATTACAGATTTTTTCATTTCACCAAATAGTATACCTATGTCAAAACGAAAAAAAAAACAAAAAAACTGTCATTGTTTGACCCAAAACTTTATTTTTGTAAACAGTATTGCTATAAACAGTCGAATAGTGAATAAATAAAATAAATAATATTTTTTTTCCGTAGGACCAATTAGTGTACTTATATTTTTAAAATTTTGACGAATTCTTAAATATACAATGTGTCCAAGATAATAAGGATGGGATAGCATTAGGATCTAGGAAACGGTAAGAGAAAGTTTTAAAATTCCGGGTAGTTCCGGAGATATCCGGAAAAACCCGAAATTTTGCAAAATTGTTTTATTTGAAAACAAATTTTAAAATAAATTGCATATTTACAATGCCACTTTTTTCGCTCCATATAAAGGCGGCAACATTTTTACGTCGGTTCTATTTTTATGACAAAATCTAGTCATTTTTAATTCTGAATTAGATAACAGTATAAAAGTAAATACCGCACAAAATATCCAACAATTTTTTTTACTACTATTAGCAATACTGATTAGAAATAATGAAACATTTCATAAATTCGTATTGTTTTTTTATTAGGTACAACTTTTTAAATTATTGATTAAAAAAAATTGTTGGATATTTTGTGGACTTTTATACTGTTATGACTTCCTCCAATAGATATAGATATTGAAAGCGTTCAGAGCTGTACTCAGGAAAAAATTTAAATGATAGCTAAAAACCTTTTTTAAGCGATTACAATAGTATGTAATTCAGAATTAAAAATGACTAGATTTTGTCATAAACGTAGGTATTTAAAAAAAATTACCTGATGATGTCCCCTCGAAGAGGAAACTTTGGATTGCATAGAATAGAGCGAAAAATATGCAATTTATTTTAAAATTCGTTTTCAAATAAAGCCACAAAAAAAAATTAAACAATTTTGCAAAATTTCGGGTTTTTCCGGATATTTGTATTTTTGTATTTTTTCCATACAATTGACTTGATTGAATTTTGGATTTTTTTAAATTTAAATAAATTATCAACAATTACTGAAAAATTCATTGTTGCAAGTCATTTTTTATCTTTTCTGCATTTTTGAGCGTGTCTTTAAACTGTGATTACAGATTTTTTTATTTCACCAAAAAGTATGTCAAAACGAAAAAAATTTATCACTGGCAGAACTCTGTACGATGATTTTTCTAAGTAAAATTTTTCTTTGAAAAAAAAAGCGTTTCAGACTGGAAAAATGAATATCTCGGAAACTTCTTGATCTATTTATCTGGTGGTTATTTAAGTCACAGAAAGGTATACTTTCACCAAGTTTCGTCAAAATTAAATTATTTTTGCGGAAATGAGAAATAAAAAACGAAAAATAATAAAAAAATCGTTTATCGCATTTTACTCGGAAATTTTAAGGTTGTCATAAAAAGTGACCTCTAAAAAAGTTGTAGATTTTTGTATGATCTACAACTTTTGTATTGGTTACTTTTTGTTTGACGTCAACTTTCGCCAGAAATCCCAATGATACAATTTTTCACAACTTTTCAATCCCCCAAATCAACCCTCCGCCACCCCTGCTCACGCATTTATTTTATTTAGATTTATTATAAGCCTTTTTACCATTTCCATTTATAAAAGTCCAGGTAACAATTTTTTTTTCTCCAAGTGTAATTTGGTTGGACTAGTTTAAATCTTGAGACATTTAATTTCATAATTATTCTGATTACAACTTACTTCGTAGTATGCCAAGAAACCTCTAGCTCTCGTCTCCTCCCCAGCTTCTCCACCTCCGTACGTAGCAGCGTTCAAACCGTTGTTGCTATTATCCGCCAAAGAGAAGGACTGCCCATACATGGGCATACCCATGACAAGTTTTCGCCTGTCCGCGCCCTTCTCTATCCAGTAATGAATCGTGAAGTTCTGAAAGACGTTTTATGTTCGAATAAAAAAGTATTTTATCTACAACACCTATACGTACTGTGTTAAATGTATCGTCGATATCTTCGGGATGAGCGTACATAGGGGCGACATGTCCCGTTATTTTATCCCACTGACCGTGGTAATCGTAACACATAACGGCAATCCAGTCGAGGTATTTAGATAGCGCTGGGACGTCGTATCCCGCATCGATGACTCTTTTACTTGGAGAAACTGCCGAGGACAGGAGCCAACCTTTGGGTTGGAAAGCTTCGTGGAGCTCTTTGACAAGTTCCGCGAAAGCCGGTTTGTCCGATGAAGGACCCTTGTTGCAGTCCACCTGAAATAAATGCGATATATTTGTGTTTATACTTATCGGATCAATTTTTTCCGCCATATCATCAGTTTTAAAAACTTTAACGTGTATGATTTGTTGCATCTTTTACCTGCCAACATTTAGGATATTCCCAGTCAAGGTCTAGACCGTCAAAGTTATTCTCCTCGATGAAATCTACTACGTGGCTTACAAACCGTCTTCTAGCTGAAGGGTTATTGACTAGTTTTGAATATTTGTCTCCTGCTGAGTCATTCCATCCGCCAATTGCAATCAGGACCTTTATGCCTTTGGCCTTGAGAGCTGTTAGTTTTTCATAGAATTCTGAAATGCGATTAAAATCATTTTGTAGCAATTATGTTTAATGCGTTTAATACTTGTCGTATTTTAAACTCGAAATTTCAGGTTTGACACAAAATTTACATTTCAAGCTCGGAATTTCGTGTTGAAATTCGAACTTTGAATTGAATCTCGAAATTTCGCTTAAAACATAAAGTTTCAGGTTTGAAAATGGAATTATGAATTGTAACTCGAACTCGAAACTCTAAGTTCGAACTGGAAATTTCAACTTTAAAATACAATATTATGAGCTTGAGCACAAAGTTTTGAAACAGGAAATTTCGAATTTGAACTCGCGCCATTATTTCATGGCTAGAAATTGGCCTCAATGATTTGGGATCGAGGGGGATTATCCCTCTTTATCCTGCCTCATCTCGTGTAGGCCTGGACAGCCTTCGTAGGTGGGCCCCATCCGTCGTCTACCCCGACCGCAAATGCGGCCGGTGTAGGCGCTTTGTGGGACCTCCTTTTGTCCTGGCTGGGCCCCGCCGGCTAGGGCCCTTTCTTCTGGCGCTCTTCTTGCTTCGCCGGCTCGTCTGTGTAAACCCCGGGGGTAGTGTCATGTTTATGTGTGGTATGGTTGGGTAGGGTAAATTTTGAACTCGAAATCTCGAATTTGAACCAAGCTCAAGCCCGTAATATTGTATTTTAAAGTCGAAATTTCCAGTTCGAACTTAAAGTTTCAAGTTTGAAGCACAACAATTTGAATTTGAAACAGGAAATTTCGAATTTGAACACGAAATCTCGAATTTGAACCATGATATTTTAAGTTTGAACACGAAATTTCAAATTCGAACTTATAATTTCGAGTGAGTTAAAATTCTAAATTTCGTGTTTTAACTTGAAATTTCATGGTTCAAATTCGATATTTCGCGTTCAAATTCGAAATTTCCTGTTCCAAATTCAAAATTTTGTGCTTCAAACTCGAAACTTTAAGTTCGAACTGGAAATTTCGACTTTAAAATACAATATTACGGGCTTGAGCAAAAAGTTTTGAGTTTGAAGCACAAAATTTTGAATTTGAAACAGGAAATTTCCAATTTGAACACGAAATCTCGAATTTGAACCATGAAATTTTAAGTTTAAAATTTCAAATTTGAACTTATAATTTCGAGTGAGTTAAAATCCTAAATTTCGTGTTCTATCTTGAAATTTCATGGTTCAAATTCGATATTTCGTGTTTCAAAATCGAAATTTCGTGTTTCAAACAGAAAATGTTATGCTCAAAACCGTCATTTCAAAGTTGAAATTTTAAGTTTTAATTATAAATTTCTAGTATGACTTAAAATTCATAATTTTCAAACATGAAACATGTTTTAAACTGAAATATCGTACTTTAAACTCGAAATTTCAAGTTTGTACACGAAATTTCCAGTTGGACCTTGGAATTTCGTGTTGAAACTTGAACTTTTGTGTTTCAAGCTCGAAATTGCCAATAGAATCTTAGTGTTTCATGTCCGATTTCCAAACTTGAAATTTCACATTTGAATTTAAAATTTTGAGTGTCAGTTAAATTTCAAAACCTGACATCTCATATTTTAAACTCGAAATTTCAAGTTTGAACATGAAATATCAAGTTTGTACATGAAACATTGCAACAAACAGACGATATTTGTATCAACTCGTATATAAGAGAACTTACTGTTATCAAAGTCGGCCCAGGTGTCGTGAGGTTTAATAATTAGTTGATCTCCGTTGAGCACTGCGAAACCGTACACGATGTGTGTACATAAATCTGGATCTATATCCGACGGTAAGTATTTCCCTACACCCTGCCTGTACCACGCCCAATTCGTAAAGTAACAAACAACCTTGAACTCGGAATTGAGATCAACTAGAGCTTGAGTGGTGGTTGTCTGCGCGGGTGGAGGCGCCACGGTTTGATCTATTCTAGGTGGTAGTGGTTCCTCTTCCGCTTCTACAGGTTCAGGCTCCCCTATCGCAGGAGGTTCTTCTTCTATCGGAGGGATCGTTTCTTGTTCGCCGTTTCCAGGATCAGCGAGAACATTCCTTATGGTAGTCAGAAGAGGATGACGACCGTCACCGCACTTATTTTTAAAGTCGTCCAAGTCCAAAGCCCAGATCATCCCTCCGCCTATGTCCATCTTCCTGATGTATTCGGATTTGATCCTGATCATTTCTCTGTCGTCGAAAGACACCCATTGGTTTCCTTTGTAGGCATAGGGACCCATACGCCGCTTCGGGTCTTGAACCACGGTCCATCCCTTGTTCTGGATATTGTCGCAAATTTCGTAGTAAGCTAAGAAACCGGCGGCTCGCGTGTAAGGGCCTGCTTCTCCAGGTCCTGGAGCTTTGGCGTTGAGGCCGTGTTCCGATTCTTTTTCTAACCTGAAGGCTTGGCCGTAAAGCGGCATTCCCATCACTATTTTCCTCCTAGGTACGCCTTCCGATATCCAGTAATTTATGGAGAAGTTCTAAAAATAAATATAGGTATACACTTAAGGATCGATGAAAATTAGCAAAGGCAGTCTCATAAAAAATTAGGAAAATGACAAAAGTTAATGACAATAAGTGACCGGTCACATTCGAAAATGACGATGAAATATTTTAAATGACCAAATTTTCCCTATATTAAATAAGTCAATTAAAATCAATATTTGTAGTTATCAATAATTCTTTTTCTTTAAATACAGTCAAAGGTAGCATTTCGTGTGAAGTTACTATACCGTCTGGTCTAACCGTTGCAAGCGGGATACCAACACGTTAGTTCCCGGAAAAGGTCCACGGCAGATTGGCGCAAGGTACTAGATACATATACCTGCGAGCGACTCCGAACCAGGACTCTTCAACGAACGCTCGCCCCGACAACATTTCTTTCCGCTACACTTTGTTTTCAACAAAAATATTTTACCGTTGAGAGTTTTATTTTGCTGCACACCAAAAGCAACCCTCAATAATTTTTAAAATTTGAAAATTAATTGAAACAGTTTAAAAATGAATAATTCGAGACATTACTTCATGAAGACTCATGTCAGACACTATCAGGATCATTAGGAGTTAATCACACAAATGTTTCGAAACGTTTGAAAGCATTAAGAATGATTCGAAACCAAGGACAAAGGGTGGTGTACTAGTTGAAGCCGAGAGATGTCGAACAGGGTCTTTGCACGTGTGAATAGTTGCTTCAACGGCAGAAAAAGAAAAGTTTTTTGGATTTTATAGCGACTGACGATGAAAAATGGAAACGCTACGATAATCCCAAGCGTATAAAATCGTGGGCTAAGCTCGATCGTGCATCAACATCGTCGCAAAGTCGAATATCTATGGTTCCAAACTTCTGTTCTGTACTTGGTGGGATTAGCTTGGTGTAGTTTATTATGAGCTGGTCAAACCGAATCACGGGAGATCGCTATCGACTGCAATTGATGCGTTTGAGCTGAGCATTGAAGGAAAAATAGCCTCTGTACGAGCAGAAACACGACAAAGTGATTTTGCGCATGACAACGCTCGGCCTCATATTAAAAACCGATAAAAGCCTACTTGGAAATACTTAAATGGGAAGTGCTATCCCACCCGCCATGTTTATCATTTCGCGGTGAGTACTCGCTTTTTTCTATTTTCATTATTTTAATGTCCGTTGCGGCGGACTTGCCTACCATTCGATTTTTTGCGTTGAGGGGCGCGAAGCGGTGAGACAAAGGGCCCAAAGGCCCCTTCCGCCTTTTGTTATGGTTGTGGCGGTCCCATTGTCCCTTTAGTCTGTATGAGACAATGCAATTTAGTTGGGGCGACAAAATTGCGAGGATTTTGTTGCGTGGATAAAATTACATGCTTATTATCAGACAATGGAACAGAATAACTGCAATTTGTTTAGTTTGCAGAAGTGTTACCAACTGTGCATTGTTTAACATGTAAAATTTCTTGTACTCGTAAGTATCTTGTAAACAATTATTTTTTATTCAAGCAAAACATTGCAATGGGTGAAAATTTAAAAGTAAATTGCTGTATAGCTTTAATAGTGGTTTCAACTGTTTTACTAACGACAGCCCTGACCAACAGCCGACAACAGCTAGGTTGGTAATAAACAAATCTCCATAAAAGTAACTAGAATCCCTGCAATTTTGTTGCAGGAATAGAGCATGTCGTAATTCATGCAATTCAGTTGCCGCGACAGAATTGCATAGTCTGATAAGAAAAATTTCATGGATTCTATCGCAGCAAGCAAATCCCTACAACAAAATTCCATTGTTTGATACGGGTTTTCTGATCGATGGAACATGGCCTGGCTGAACATCACTTCCATTCTTATAAAGATGTCAAAAAATGGTCTACTCTTGGACAGCCCCCAAAAGAGGTGTCGTTTTTCCAGCATAGTTAGCGATGGACAATACTCTCAGTGAGATGTTTTCACTATTTTTTTTTAAATAAAGCATTAATTTTCACGAAAAAACAGCGAGAACTTATTTATCATCCCATTACAAACCAGCATTTTCTTATGAAATTGTTATTTTCTTAAATTTACAGTATTACGAAGTTTGAAAAATGGAATGTTATTATAAAATTAAAATAATCAACTGTTTATGAAATAAAATATATCTTCGTCACAAAAGTTCAAGTGACAAAATTTGACCTTCTTAATTTTCATCAATCAACTCTGAACAACAATGTTTTTCGACACGTGTAACCGCCAAATAATTATTTTTCAAATAAACTTGACTGGAAAATGCTTTAATATTACAGATGTTGTACTACTTGGTACTTACCGAATTATAGAAAGCCACTTCGTCCTCAGGATGATAAAACAGTGGGGCGACATGTCCGGTCTGTTTGTCCCATTGCCCGTGGAAATCGTAGGTCATCACGGCGACCCAGTCCAGGTTATCTGCTAAAACTGGTACGTTGTAACCAGCGTCTATGACGGTTTTACTGGGAGATACAGCTGCGGATAGTAGGTAGCCCTTCGGTTTAAAGGCTTGTTTCAGTTCGGTGACGAACGCGGCAAAGGCTTCTTTATCGGAATCGGGACCTTTTTTACAGTCGACCTTAAAGAAATAAAGTTTGCATCAAAATTGACTCACTGCCAAAAGTGGTTCAAATTTTTGTCTCGGCAACGGCTAATCTGATTTTTATAGGTTTATTTCTTTGTAACAATACTAAAAAGGGAATGGGTAAACCCATAATCCGAATAAAAAGATTGTATTAGTTGTTCGAAGAGAAAACAAGTTTTGAAATTAGTGGTGCGTTAATTTTGACAAAGGTGTAAGAAATTTTATTCTGTCACATACCTGCCAGCATTTCGGGTACTCCCAGTCGAGATCTAACCCATCAAAGTTGTATTTCTCCAAGAATTTGAGAATGTGCTCGATAAATCTCCTTCTCGCGGCTGGGTTGTTAACCAACTTAGAGTATTTGTCCCCTTGAGAATCGTTCCAACCCCCGATGGCTATTGATACTTTAACGCCCTTTTCCTTGTACGCAGTTACCCTTTTGTAGAATTCTGTAAAAGAAACATTCTCAGCATTTAATACTTTCAAGAGTTTATTCACTTACGATTGTCGAAATCAGCCCAAGAATCGTGAGCCTTGATGATATGATTAGAATAATCCAACACAGCGAATCCGTACACGATATGCGTGCAAAGATTTTCATCGATGTCCTCGGGAAGGTACTTTCCAGATCCCTTCCTGTACCAAGCCCAATTGGTGAAGTAACACACTATCTTGTAATATCCCGAGAACGGTTTCAACGGTTCGGACAGTGGCGGTTTCTCTGATGTGGGGGGGATTGGAGGGTGCCATTCCCATTCGTTGCCGGATGATTCGGTAGTGGTAGTGGATGGTGGTTTCCACTGCGACGCAGTAGTCGTTGGAGGTTTCCACTGTGACGGAGTGGTGGGTTTCTTACTTGACGGTCTGCTGGTGGTAACTGCCGGTTTGGGGGTGGTGTCTGCATCTACAATGCTGTTGTCGGTATCTTGCGAGCAGTGCGCTCCCCTAGGCCAGTCGCATATTTTCTTTTGCTGTCAATATAATGGGTACAATTAGTGGCGAGTTATTTGAAGTTATGTGTTTCTGTCAAATAATGGAAGGATTTCTATTTAAACGAAATTGACAGTCCAAACCAAAACCTTTTTTCACGCCCTATTGATATTTTTCTTTTGCAAAACGAAGTTTAAATAAATTTAACAATAACATAATAAAAAATATTTTTAGTGGAAACTTGTTTCTCTTTTACTTAAATCTGCCATTTGTTTCCCCACACAATATTTAATTTAACAAGTGTGACACACGTCATTGTGAATCGCTGCATAACATACTTCAATATGATTTGAATTATTTTTATATAAGCCAGTTAAATTTTTGAGTTTTTTTAAAACTAAAGAAAATATACTGGATGTTTCATAAAAAAATACTTACAGTCAAATTTAATTTTCACCTGATAACTGTGTTAAGTGTATTTTATAGTAAAATATACATGAACTGTAAAAGTTTATTGAAATTTCTTAGAATTCTTCATAAAATTTAAGAAAAACGGTATCTATTTTGTTGCTTACAGAAAATTTTACTCACATCGTTCCAATGCAGACCCGGAGCACATTGGAAAACTTCATATTTTCCCCAAAGGCAGTGCAAATATTGCGTACAATCTCCTGCAAGGGGAGCAAAAGTATTTTCTGTGCACGATGAGTAGGGTTGAGGTCCTGCAAAGATTTATGAGATGTAATATGGAAAACGTTTATATGGACTTATTATCACTGCTAATGACGCTATGAAAGCAACACTGTATCACCTCTAGGCAAAACAGTTTAAACTGAGAAACACTACTCTGCGGACTAATGCCCCGACCAGCTTTGAATTATCCCAGCTGTTTACTAGATGTTATGAGTATAGACTTGATTAATTCACTTGAAAATATTGACATTTTCGTATACAATTCAAATAACTGAACTGATACTATCCCACATATTATTTGTATGCATGCATGAGCAGGTATAAATTAACAAAAAAATATATACAGGGTGATTCATTCATAACGTCAATAATTTTAAGGGAATATAGGAAAAATGAGTAGAATATGAATACGCTATTAAAAAAAATTCAAATAATTATTTGAACCCCTTTTCGAGCCGCTCCTGACCGCTGACTTACAAAGGTTTATCGAGAGGCCTTTAGAATACGTGGTTAAAAGTAATCACATTATAAATGAATCAGCCAGTATATGTGATCATACACTTTTCGATTTCTTAAATTACACAGGTCAACATTTTATCTAGGCATGTGCACGGGAATCGAAGATGGTATTCTAGGGTTTTTGGGGTCGCTGATTACGATGAGCGGGTCGGTTAGGCTCCATCACGTCAAGTTCAAGGTCATTGAAGGTCAAACGGTCAAAAAAACCTTCCAAAAATCTGAAAAAATTCATGGACATGTTTTGAGGTCGCTGAATCCGAATCCGGTGTTTATTTATACTTTGCATGCATCCTTGAGGTCATTCAAGGTCATCTCAAGGTCATTTGAGGGTTTTTTGAGACAAAAATGCTACGTACCATCCGAGAAATCTGAAAAAATTCATACGTATGTTTTCAAGGACCCTGAATCTGAATCTGAGGTCAGTCGACCTCATTTCAAGGTCATTTGAAGGTCAAATGGCCAAAAAACCTTCCAAAAATCGGAATTCATGGACATGTTTTTGAGGTCGCTGAATCCGAATCCGGTGTTTATTTTTTACTTTGCATGCATCCTCGAGGTCATTCAAGGTTATCTCAAGGCAGGTATTCTAGTTCTGTGGCACAATTGTGCAAAGTAAAAATAATCACCGGATTCGGGTTCAGCGACCTCAAAAACATGCCCATGAATTTTTTCAGATTTTTGGAAGGTTTTTTGACCGTTTGACCTTCAAATGACCTTGAACTTGACGTGATGGAGCCTAACCGACCCCAAAAACCCTGAATACCATCTTCGATTCCCGTGCACAAGCCTAGATAAAATGTTGACCTGGTTATTGCTACTATGAAACTAATCACAATCAATCCCCCTCGCATATACACATACACGCGCACACTCAGACTTAGGTTAACGTGTTTTATACTATTTACTAAATATAAGGCACACTTACGATCTCCGACGTAATGATTGTTTAGTAAATGAAATTTCTGTGCGGCTTTATTCCCCGGAATACATTTCACCTTAAAGTTCCAGTCACACATGCCCTCTGGGGCGTTCCAACTCAGGCCAGGCGCACAGTTTTGCTCCACCAAGTGCCCATTCACACAAACGTAAAATTGAGAACACAACTCGTGCGGGTAGTAAGTCCCGGTAAGGCAGTCTTTCTTACTTGTTGTCGCTTGCGTGCTGGTCGTGGGTCTCGCTGTTTGCGGGGCTTGAGTTGTTCGTGTGACTTTCGTGGGCGTTGTTCTCGTTTGCCAGAGGACGGTCGTTTGGGGTTTCCTCACTGGTTTCCTGGTGGTGGTCGCTAGATACGCTAAAATTATAGAATTTCTCTTATTTTTATTGTTCTTCGAATAACGGATTTACGAATATGTGCCAAAATTTTAACTACGTAACTAATCGAAGCAACAAATTTATTTTTCAATTTCTTTCTCAAACTTTTTCATTTTGAAGATAACACAGGACCACAAAAAAAAATCGACGAAAGGTCTCCTCGGCCAAACCTATCGTATTATATGTTTTTTGGGTCGCTGAAACCGAATCTGCAACCCTCACCCTTATTAATGCCGGTCCTGGTTTTGAAGTTTTGGGGTTTTAGGATTATTCAGCTTCGAGGCTTTGAGGTTTCAGATTGAGGCCTTGTCGCTCATTTTGGATTTTTGGGTTTTGGGCTCATCCAATTTTGAGGTTATATATTTTTACGGTTGCGAATTATCATTTTACGGCTTGTCGAGCTCGTTCGGGATCATAAGGATGTGGAGTTATAAGGTTTTAACAGGTTGCAGGGTTGATTTTGTTGAATTCTACCATTTTTCAGCTATTTTTTGAGGTTAGAAAAAACTCTGACGTGATGGGACCAAATGAGTTGCAGATTCGCTTTTAGCAACCCAAAAAACATATAATACGATAGGTTTGGCCGAGGAGACCTTTCGTCGATTTTTTTTTGTGGTCCTGTGTAATTTTTTGAAATTGCAAGAGAACCAAAACAAACATGCCGGCTATCAAAAGGGACTTTCACTGCTACATGTTTGATTTTTTATAAGATACAGTGTTCTAGAAGCTCTATGACAAACTTTGACAGATTGTAGTCCGGGCGAATTAAGTTTTTTTAAAAAAATCTGGCCTAACTCAAATTTTATGGGCTTAAAATTAAGTAAAAAATATACAGAATAAAAGCCCAAATTTGTGTATTTGTAGAGATGGAGCGTCATATTGTTTATAACAAAAGAAAACAATAATTGCTCTTTTTTCAGTTTTTCGCTTGTATCTCCGAAAATAAGCCTCTAATCGACATTAGGTATACTTATCGATTTTGTTCCTGAGGAAATTTTCTACAAGGATAGGCCATTGCGAAAACTCGCAAATTTTTTTTTACAATGCAAAATTAGCGGTGAGGAAGAAAATGTGCAAAATTTTCAGCATTAAATAAAGAGAATTTGGAATGCTCAATAAATGCCCGCAATCCTGACTCCCAATTTAAAAATGGCGGCCTACTGCAAATTTATAAGCTCAAAAATGCGAGCGTGTATATCTTCTGCCTAAGTTAAGATATCGAAATTCGGTAAAAAGGATCGGAAGGTAATTACATTGTCTAGCGTTTACGTAAATTTCAGATTTTTCAGTTGCAAAATTAAAATGTTATTAAAAAAAACGGTAACTAGGGTCGTTAACTCGGCGGTTTTTTAATTACAGATTTTAAACCAATTATTTTTTCCCGCTCTTTCGAAGGGTGCAAGCAAAAATATGTGAAAGTCATCGCCAGACCCCGAAAAATACATTTTTATTGACTTTTCACGTTTTCTTTTGTAATTTCATTATGCTTTCGATATTTTGAAAAGTAAGAAGGTCTTTTTACGTACTTAAAACAAAAGTCAATTATTTTTTTTTGAAAAAAATTATCAGTATTCTATTTATCTTGCTCAGAAGAAGTCGACGTATAAAATATTGTCTTAAAATTAACTGTTACAGTTATTTCGTAAATTTACGCAATAACTGTAACAGTTAATTTTAATCATGGCCACCGCGTTTCCCGGATCTAAATCCTTTGGACTTTTATTTATAGGGGCATATGAAGCAACTTGTCTACCATGTTGATTACAATATGACATATTTTTTAAAATCCTTGTAACTTCTAAACAAAAACGGACCTATGTTCATATAAGAAAAAATGTTTGACATTAACCCAGACACCATCTGTCAAAGTTTATTATAGAGCCTTTCGAACACCCTGTATTTCGAAAAGAAAGTTTTGCTAACGTTTTTCTTCTTGGCACTTCGCCTCCTTGGGCCAGTCGCAGATACTTTTTCGTTTGTTCCAATGTAAACCTCCAGCGCAGTACTGTTTCTTGAGTTCTCCTAGAATACATCTGTAGTAGGCGTTGCAGTTAGATGGGTCGGGAAGGTGCTGCCCTGGTTCGCATGATTTTGATGGGGTGTCGACTTCAGGCATTACCACTGCAGGGGGTGGTACTATCGTCGAGCCGTCTGGTGTAGCCTCTGTCGTGCTAGTCGTAGGCCTAGAAATATCGGATTGTGCAACTTGTCGATATTTAAATGTTCAAAATGGGCCATATGTATGGAAACCCATTAATTAATACAATAATAGCAAAAATTGAATTTATTCAAATAAAATAGCTGTTATAAAACACGTATTATGTTGTTAAACATTTTATTTTTTTTTGATAAGTTGTGATTCACCCTGTATTTATATAAATTTAGCTCCTAAACAGTGTGACCTATTAAGGAGATACCTTTGCACTTTAGAATTTTCTAAAAATCTAACGTACAAAAATGTTTGAGTAATATTTACCTACAACCCCCCAGACTGGCACGCCCCTGATGAAAATTTTGGAATTATATATTAACCATTAGGTTTGCAACATAAAGGCAATACTCATTTCCAAGTTTCATTGTTTTATCTCGAACCGTTTTGAATATATCTGAAAAGAACAACTTCGAAGGGCTCAACATTAATGAGCCCTAGCCCAAGTAACATTCCGCCTATTTTCACATAAACTTTTCCTTTATTTTTCTTTTATTCTTCATTCTTAGAATGTGTTGGTAAAATAGTACACACTAATTTCAGGACACTGTCTAAGAAATTGGTTTATAAGTTTCAACTTACCTTGCAGTAGTAGAAGGTTTTGTAGCCCACCACGCCACAGTGGTTATGGTTGGCCTCGTCGTGGGTATCGTCGATGGTTTCTCTGTCCACCAAACAACTGGCGTACTCGGCTTTGTTGTAGGCTTACTAGTAGCGCTCGTGGAAGTTGACCACCATGGACTCCAAGTGGTTGGTTTAGACGTTGAAGATGGTTTTTCCGTCCACCAGGGGCTAGTAGTCGGCTTGCTACTGGTAGGTTTTTTGGTCGTGGTCCACCATGCGGACGTGGTTGGCTTCTTCGTGGTGCTGCTCGTCCACTCTCCGTGTATGTGTTCTGTGGTGGAACTTGCAGCTCCGGAATCTACTCCGGTCGTGGTTTCGGGAGGTGCAGGAGTAGAGGGTGTTGGAGGCTTAGTGCAATCTCCCTTAGTGGGTTTGTCCGAGATAAGACCTAGTTCGTAGTTCAAAGAACGGAGGAGCGGGAAAGTTCCTTCACAGCATCGATTATTGAAGTCGTCTAAGTCAATGGTCCAGGCTACGGCACCGCCAAAGCCTTTGGTTTTGATGTAATTTGCCTAAGAATATATTAGCGCAGTGCAAGAAAAATATACAGAACCTTTTGCTTGGCTCACCTTTTCCTTAATGGAATTGACGTCCTCGTACCCAACCCATTGGTTTCTGTTGTAAGCGTATGGTCCTCCAGAGCCGGTATTGGCGTTTGAGATCCACCTCTGGCTTCTGATCCTGTTACAGACTTCATAGTACGCCAACATACCGGGTTGCTTGGTATATTCGCCGGCTTCTCCTGGACCGGTACTTGGAGCGTTTTCTCCGTATTTAGTGTCCTTTGATAGGGTGAAGCTCTGTCCGTAGAAGGGAACGCCCATCAAAAGTTTTTCTCGCGGGGCTCCTCGAGATACCAAATATTCCATGGTGAAGTTCTGGAGGTAGATGATAAGAGAAATATTTACTTTTGCGTATTTATTTAATAAATATTATTTATTATAAAATACCTACTGACATTACTGGAGTTTTAAATTATACACATATTTGTAGGTACATATATATTTTTAATTCTTGAAAAAAACATGTAAAATTTGGAACATAGAAATGAAGAGTGATTTCGCATGAAAAGATATAAAGAAACAATTTGAAAAACAAGCAACATGTATAGGTATGTGTATACAAAAGACTCTGTAACACTTTTTACGGAGTTTGTGGGTTTCTCATGAAGCCGGACTGTATTCGAAAGTCAGTATGTAATACATTGTTGTAGTGATTGCTGTGCTGTTCTTCGAAAGTACATTTAATAGCCGTATTTCCAAGTTTTCTTTGGAAAATGGCGCATTTATTTAGCAATCACGAATATTATATGCTCATAATTTATGGCTAAGCAAACGAAAATGCCCACAGAGCTTGTCAAGTGTTGTGTGCAAGCTAATGGTGGGTAGATCGAACATCTATGAAAATCAGCAGTTCTCAAGAGGTGGCTCCTTGCAATGTTGAGGTATGTCAGGTTTTAAAATTACATTTTACTAAATACAAATCCTTATATTTATCTCATTTTGACATAAGTTTATTAACACCTTGTATAGTTCAACACAAGCAGCACAGAATATCTTTGAGCAAGTTACATTTTAGATTTTATTTTTTTTTAACTTACCGAATTATACTGAGGATACTTGTCGCCTGGGCGCTGGTACAGGGGACTCACGTGACCAGTCTGGTGCTCCCAAGCACCGTGGTAATCGTAAGTCATCACCGACATGAAGTCTAAAGTTTGCCCCAAGGTCGTTAAATCGTAAGCGACATCGATCACCTCCTTGTAACCAGAGATCGAAGCTGCCAATACCAGCGGCGGATTCTCTTTGTCAAACTCCTTCCTCAGCTCCTATAACAAATACATTTTTTAAGTAGTTTACAAACTGTTTGTTAGTTCTTATATTCGTACCTGGAGAAGTTTGGGGTAGTTGGTTTTGTCGGACGACGGTCCTCTCTTGCAGTTGCTCTGCCAACAGACTGGGTAATTCCAGTCGAAGTGCAATCCCTTAAATCCGTATCTGCGTAAAAAACTAACGGCACCGATGACAAATCGCCTTCTAGCCGAGCCGTCACTGACTAGTCTCGAGAATTTGTCTCCAGCAGAATCTGTCCAGCCGCCTAAGGACAAAAGAGTGGTTGTGTCTTGCAGGGATGTTATCCTTTCGTAAAGGCCTGAAAAAGACGTACAATAACCGATTATTTTCCACCAGAAATAGAAATATTCCAATAAAAATGCACCATGTAATTCAGATTATCATCAGCTGGAACCAATTTTATATTATATGCTTTTGAAATGATGTCATTTATTTATTTATTTGAAATACTCGTACATATCCAGCAGGAAGTGTCCAAAAACAAGTTATGGTAAGACTTTAATCAAAATATAACAGAAAAAAAGGAAAATAAATATGAAGAATAGAGAAAAAATATGAACATACAAATAAAAAGTACGAAAAGACGAAATCAACAAACAATATCAATAAAATAATGGATATATGGCTACTTAAGCATTACATCTTTCATAGTTTGAATGGAACCATAAAAAATTACGGAGAATCTTATACCTGCAAGCAACTAGCAGGATTAACTACTTACTGTTGTCCAAATCGGCCCAAGGATCAAATTCTTTCATGAGAAGCTTCTCGGGGTCCAAGCTGGCAAAAGCGTAGACGACATGGGTACACAGTCTTTGATCGATGTGTTCAGGTACAAATTTTCCTTCAGCCTTTCTGTAGAATGCCCAGTTTGTGACGTAACACACCACCTAGAAAGAAAAGAAGTTATTCGAAAAATAAAATCATTGTAAGCCACAACATTAAGAGATCTTCCGTATTTTCGAAGTTTAGATTACAAATTCTGAATAATAATTGCACTTTCATTTTGCTTCGGAAGATAAATTGCAGTTTTTCAATATAATTTCAATTAAGAGGGAGGCACAAAGAAATAACTAATCCGAACAAAGTTGATAGGTATATAAAAAATGTAATGCCACATACTTTTGGTTTGCTGTCTTTGATCTGGTCCCGCCTCAACAAGGGATCTATTTCCTTCAAACTATTCGGAATGTAAACCGTCTGTCCTGGCTTGCATCTCTCAGCGCTGAAGTGTTCGCATTTTCCAGTGTTGGAATTGAACATCAGGTTTTCCCCGCAGGACAAGTGGTAGCTCAAACCGTTCTTGCAAACGTAGTAGGCGGCGCAGTTTTTCGGATCGCTGTAAAATCCCGTCGACTTGCAAGTTCCGAAGGGTTGAGTTGGTGGGTTGTGGTCGAAGTTTATAGAAGACTGTTCCACACCTAGAATAAAGGATTGCATTTGTGTGGCCAGTAAAATCCGTCATTTAGGTTGCTAGATTTTAAAATCTTCCTTGGGTTTGCTTTATTTTTCTATCCGGCTAGGCTGGGCGTTTTTCCAAGCAACGCGTGGCCAGATTGTCAAGTGTTTGACATTTCGGCCGAAGCATTTCTATTGTTTTATAAAATGCTTATTGCCTTAGTCAGTTTGTAAGATGAAACGACAGTTCTGCATTAAATTTCGACTAATATAAACAACTATAGGGTAGGTACGTACCTACATGAATAAATATGATTTAAAAATATTATGTTGATGTCGTTAATGTTAATAAATCAGTTGAGATTAGTCAAACTGGTCGCTTTTTACAAAACGATTTTACTGAAAGTTCCGACATTGATGGATTTTGCTACTATGGTTATATCAAAGATAGTGTAGATAGTGTAAGTGTAAGTTTCCCTCATTTGTTGCCGCTGTCATTTATAAAGTCACTGTAGGTCTCATTAAAGTCCTTATTAAAGTCATTAAAGTCTCATATGGATAAAGTACTACAATCAACTGCCACTTTGGGGCAAAATCCCTATTGCCTACCTTGGAAGTCAAATAGGCTGTTAATTAATTGTCATCTATTTAGAATATTTAAATCAATTCATTGCACAATACCTCAATATTTCTATTTATAATATTACAACAATTAAATTTTAACAGTTCTTTATAGGTATATCAAATTCACATAAGTTAAATCGACATTTTTGAGCAAACAAGGTCACTGATGATATTTGGTTAATCTAGAGATTCTACGTGTTACAATCTGGCTACGAAAATATGATTTTATAGAGCCCTATTATAAAATTTAGATTCTTATGAATAGATTCGAAAATACTTAGTAAAAAGCACATATAAATTGAAATGAAAATATCTTATTTGAAAAAATGAGTTTTCCTATAATGAGTATAGTTACCATAATCAATACGCATTTATTACATAAATTATCAATGTAAAACTTTCTGAAAATAAAAGTTCTACCGTTTCTTAAATTGTCTCTAAAATCCTGGTCCGATTCGTCCAATAGTTAATTAACAATTAACGTTAGGTATATAAAAAAGCTATCTTGAGACCAAAGAGGCGTACGTGATTTCTCTTTTTTTTTAATAACCGTAAAAATAAACTATATTTAATGCAAAAAGAGCGAATTCCCGAGCGGCTTTTGCCTGACCCTGGGACAATTTGTTTATAATGCTGTTTTGTTAGTTGTAAAGAGATATTTAATTTCAACTTTTTGAAATTTTTCTTTTTGGATACGTTTCTTTGGATTAATTAGAACCTATTAGCAATTTTTTTCAGAATTACCTTCAGTGCAACTCACATAATACAAGTGTAGATCCCTAGATCTGGGCGAAATTGCAAAAATGTTTAAAAAATTTTAAAAAATACCTATTTTATTTGAGTTTTTTACTTATATCTTGGAACCTATGCATTTTGGAAGAATATTGAAGAGGAAAAAACGTTTTAAAACTGAATTTTGCACAATACACTGTAAGTTAAAAATGTTTAAATGTTTTACCGATGTTGCAAAATAGCAATAATTGATGAAAAAAAGCAAAAATAATCGGTTGATTAGGACGGCAACAGTAAATTTTTGAAGTTAACTCTTTTTTTTATTTTCAAACAATTAGATTACATTTATCAATTTGAGATTTAGTTTTTCAAAAATTATAATTTTAAAGTAATATTTTTTCTTAATTTTATCTGTATTTAACAAAAAAATTAATTTCCAAATATTTATTTTTTTTAATTTGTTTAAACAAAACTTATTCAAATAATTGTACTAATTATAAATAAATACATT